CGGGTTGAGGGTTTTATAAAGGACCTGTGATTATAGATAGCATTATTTTTACATGCAATTACTATAAAATATTAAATTCTACTAAAATTCCTTAAAATATTTTATTCTTATTCGTAGGATCCTACTCACGTGAGTGGTGAAGGAAATAGAGGGAGGGGGAAGAGAGGAGAGATGAGGAAAGTAAAAAGAAGATGATTATATTTTATAATCGTGTTTATACAATTATGTTTTGACTCCCTCTCTCTCTAGCTGCACTCAATGAATTTCAAGTTCAATTTATACCTTCCTAAATCAGTAAAACATAAATAAAATATAAAAAAAATTAAAAAAAAGGAGAGCGTGTCCTCATTTACCCCGAATTCGACGTCCTTGCCCTTCCGTGTTTTCCTTCACCTAGTAAAAAGTGCGACCCCCCCCCCCCCCACTCCGTGACACCCGTGCCCCTCATTCACTGGATCCCTTATGCTTGTATGGAATAAAACAAATTAGAATTTAAGCGGTGTATCTAAGTGAGAGTTATGCTTAATTGAAAACCTAAATTTAAATCTTAAAATTTGAAGAGAAGAAAAACACGTTCGACAAAATCTGTTTCCACCAAAAACGACTTTGTCAAGAAGTTCATTCGTTCAAATCTCCTTTTCCTAGGGACCTCGAACTTTTTTTCCAAGATCCAAGAAATTTAAAGAGTTCTTTGCCCTCGAAATATTTAATTTTATTTTTAGCTCAAATTTGGAGATCAAAATACTATTCAAATTTTACCCGAGGACCCTCGAACCGATTTTTTCATTTATTTTTCTCAACGGGGTCCTTGGCCTGCCCATGGTTCTGCTTATAATAATAATAATAATATTACGCTTTTATATAGCGTCCAATACATCGATACAACAATGTGCCTATAAGCGTTTTATACAGATTATGCCTTTATAGGTATCGCGTGTCTCCAAAATATGTTATAATAATGTTTAATCTTAACACGTGCTCATCCTTCCTCCTATTCCTTGAGTCACTATTATCTTGACTGGTAATAATTACTTTGGCTGTCATGATCAAACATTATGATAAAAAAACAGCGCGTTAAGATTAAAAAAACTTGATCAGGTCTGGTGATTTATCTGGGTGATAATCATTCATTATTCACACAGGGATTCAATTCCCTCTGAACTTTTGCTACAGAGAGAGAGAGAGAGAGAGGGGAGGGGAGAGAGAAAGAGAGAGAGAGAGAGAGAGAGAGAGAGAAGGGGGGATGGGGGGGGGGGGGGTCAACGTTTGTATTATTCCGGGTCGTCGAGTGAAAACTTTAAGTGAGTTCAAAACTCAGAAACTTGCTCTATCCACAAGACTCTGCATAAACTATAATATGACTTCTTTGATTTAACCTCAGAAATAATTTAAATGGGTTCGCTCTTTAGAGTCCTGTAACTTTTAAAACAAGAGAAAAAGTATGAGCAAGCATGCTACCTTATACCCCTGCCCCACCCTCCACGGATAGGTACTATATACTTCCTCATCACATTATGAACCCATGCATTGTTATGAACGATCGCACTATTTTTCTTGCCCCACTACAAACCTTCTGAAAAAATTACTTCATTGACATATTCGATGAAAATATATTTCCGAGTGAAATTTCTCAAAATGACGTTGGAGTTGTTACCAGCGGGAGGGGCGCTGGAGAATGGAATTCCAGCGAAAACTCACCTGCTGTTTCCCCCGAATCTCTCGGGGGCAGACTTTGTGTGATGCCGCCGCCGAGCTGGGCTGTGCTAGCGGGTGACATCAAGGCGATTTTTTCCTCCATCATAATTTTCTTGTTGAAATTAGAGGGTTTTTAACCCAAATAGTCCCCCACCCCCTTCGTTTTTCCGCTCGAGTTTGTTTGTTTTACTCTCAGCCATGGCGACCCCCTAAGAGGGCAATTACTTAGGATATTATACGCTTCGTGGAACGATTTCGATGAAATTAAATGTGGCATAAAATGACAAGGTAAAAGACTGAATTTAGAAACGAAAACCAACATAATATAGATGGGTTAATGGAATCAAAAGAAAAATGATGATTGAGTGATTGACTGATGATTATTTATTGATTAATGGGTTTGACGGATTGATTTAATGATTATTGGATTAATGGGTAGATTAATTTATTGATGGTCGATGGATTGACGGAAGAATCAGAAAGAAAAAAAGACTGGTCGGTTGACGAGTTGTGATAGATTATATTTGATTGATCGATCAATAAATTGACTGATTGACTGCACTTTATTTTTAGGCACACCTGCAAAAAAGTTTTTGTCTGATTAAACTAAGTCATGCTCTTTTTTTTCCTACTTCCTCCATATTGTTCGCGAATTTATATTTCAGTAAGTAACATCTATCTATCTATCTACCTACCTTATCCATCTATATAACTATCTTATATAGGCATATAGGCCTACATTCATCAAAGGGACGGAAGATGCTTTAACTGGATGACCCCCCCCCCCCCCCCCCCCCCCACTTCTCCTGCGTCTGCATGCCCATCATCCCCTTAGTGTTTTCGGTTTCCAGTCACGCGTATACTATAAAGGGGGAGAGGAGTCAGACTGAAAGAAAGAGAGAAAGAAAGAAAAGGGAAAGGAAAAAAGAAAAAGAAGTATAGAGAGAAAGAACTGGAACTTGAACTGTTTTTGTTGTTGAAAACTTAAATCTCATTGTCTCTTCTTGTAATACTGTATAAAATTCACCGATAGATGGCCCTCTTTAAGAATGAATCTAGTGCCATAATAGAAATGCTAATGAAATCCATTGAGCATTATCTGATAGATCTCCAACCATACCTCCGCATTGGTAAAAGCATGGACCTATTACGGATGGACATTCAACGTGATTCTTTCTTTGATCCGATGATAGTTGCCGCCTTCTGATTATGTGCATCTTAATGAGAACATTCAGCTGTTTTAACAATTACGACTGCGTAAGCATTTTCTGCCATTGACAAAGGAGCAGTTTCCCTCTCTTGGGTTTTGTTTGGATGGTGTGCTCTGTAAGAGTGTGTCTTAAATAAAAGCATCCCCAATGGGGAGCAGCAAAGTTGAAAAGCAGGCGATTTTGGTTTATATGAAATGTATTATTACTGATTGGCAAACTGTCGCACACACCTATGACCTTATAAAACAATAATATTGGAAGGCCCATGATCTGTATCAGCCCTGTGCGTTGTAACTCTGGAATATTATGAGGAAATAGGGGGAAATAGGGGGAAACGGGATTTTAAATCACCAACAATTCAACTATAAACTCTATTTAGTATATCAACATATTTTCAAAATAAAATACAGTACACGGAACAACAATTTCCGATTATAAGCCAGAACTGCACATATATTTTCCATGATTTAGGCAAGTAATTATCTTCTGCGCATGTAGATTAACATGTGTAAATTCACTATCTTGATTCTGTCCCGGCTTTTTGGCGGTGACCATGATGAGATCAAAGTGAAGAAACATTTACAGAATGTTATTGAGACGACATTGACGGAGAGAATCACAATGAATTCGTTAAGAAAACGATGAATGTCCATCCGTAATAGGTCCATGGTGAAAGCAAACACGATAATAAAGAGGGAGTGAGAGAGAGAGAGAGAGAGAGAGAGAGAGAGACAAAAGTGTTTTTTTTTTAATAATAATAATAATTATTATAAGGGTGATTGAGCCGGCGTAGTTTTACTTATTAATTTACACTTTTAAACTTAACCAAAATGTTCAAAATAAGAGAAAACTTAGCCCAAGAGGGACTTTATTCTACACTAATTATTAAATGCGGGAGCATCTTATTTAGAGAAATGTCCGTCAGAGGGAAAATAACCATATTTCAATGAGTAGGCATATATTATGCATATACATATATATGAGTAGGCATATAATTCTCTAAATCAGCCCACCAATTAAGTTGGCCACATATTTACCATATTATGCATGAGCATCAGTCACATCTATATAAATTTAATGAGATTTATTGTCAAAGAAGACGACAAAGACAAAAGGAAAAAAAATGGACGAGTGGGACAAAACCCTGAACTTTATATGCTAAAATCATGTGTTTTTTTTTTTAAAAGGTGATTGTCCTAAAGTATTATGTACTTGAGATGTTTAATGGCTTTAAAACGAGAGACTTAACAGTTGCAGAGCAGAGATACAGAGCAGTTTTGTTATTTTGACCTAGATTTCAACGTTATTATTTTCTTCAAAATAACACTGATTCTATGGCATTTAGACCTATAATTTTGTTACACCGTGACCCAACAGGTTTCTTTAAAATACAAGTGTACAAGTATTTTGAATACTTTGTGAAAATTAATTTACTGACATATGTATTATAAATTGCATGCCCATGTATAACGATATAGTTTCATGTAATATGTCTATAGATTATGACTGTTTAGAATTCATGTTCCTGACATACCAAAAATTGAATTGGGTTGAATTGGAACAAATTGTCTAACAGAAAGAAGAAGAAAAAAGCAGATATATATTTTTTCTTTAATTTTCGTCATAAAGGAATATAATTGAAAAGAAATCGGTACCATCAGACCAACTAATTGCATGCATAGTATTTCAAAGCTAAGAAGTTTACTGTTAAATAAAATAAAAACAATTTGGCACTGAACGCTGATGAATAGAAAAGGAAGAAGCTGTCCACAAAAAAAATTGTGACACCAACATGCAAAATCGTGGCCCATAGGCTACAAGACATATTTGTGAACTAGATAAGATTGTTGGATGCAAATAAATTAATCAAAGGTTGAATTCTTTTTCAGTTAGATGACGTGTCCCCGCCTTTACATTCTCCCCGACCGAGTTTAATTCGAATAATTATTATCAGTTGAACTATTACCCCTGAAATGTCCACACCGTTGTTGTGGAGCGCTGAAAAGCGGTACCTGGGAAATGGGGGCACGGGACGCGGATCCTGGTATGTTTTGAATATTTACGTTTCATTTGTACACAGCTCAGGCGGCTACAGCAGCGTACGGACAGGGAGGTGTTTAGAATCAATCGTCCTGTCGTGTTTATCAGAAAGTGAGAGGAAACTTGGTGAAGTCGGTGAGAAATCTCTATATTTTAGGGAGCTCGGCTTTATGAGCTTTTCGTCAATGTGTTTGTTGTCTGGAATAAAAGAATATCTGAAACTGAAGTGAAAGTTCTTTTTTTTTTCTCGACTGTTTGGCTTTCAATTCAGTCCCATGCTTTAATATCTGTGTACCGTATCGGTTCTCTATAGCCCAAACAAACAAAATTTTGCCTGATGATGTTACTGTTATGTTAGTGATATATGATGATGAGTTATTATCGGTTTTACTATTTTTATATTTCAAAGGAAAATATGTTTCTCATGTAAAATGGTAACAGGTCTTGACTTGAGTCTAGAATGAATGAATGAATGACTTTCCTCTTTCCTGACCCAGGCTATCTTTCAAGTTTGAAGTTCAAGTTGAATATCCGGCATCATATTCCTAAATCTAATTCAATACTCGATAGGAAATCTGTTTTTTTACTTTGTAAAATAATTTCTATTTCTAGTCTATAGAAACTTAATAAAATATCTCTTTGATATTCAAAGGCTATGTACTTAATTACTTAATTCCTTTGGCCTTGGCAGCTAAACTGGGATGGTAGGTGAGGCGAGTAACTACAAGGAGTGTCATCAGTGCTGGAATGGTGTGTATGGACAAAGCACTTGTTAGTTCACAGTAAAATGCATATATAATATAAAAGCCTTCAATTCAAGAGAAGGATGTGTCAATCATTCTGTCTTCTGTAAGCTAACTGCAAACAATTAAAAAAATATCAACCTCAATTTGTTTTTACAGCAGTTTCTTGTCAGGAGTATGCAAGACTTTGTATCATGGCGATAGGAATTGGAATAATCGCTTTCATCTTGGTGCTTGTGGCCATCGTGACTGTCCCCTTGCTCAAGTTCATCAGACTGTGGATCATCTTTAACAAGTTTCACGGCCCTCCTGCTATCCCGTTGCTAGGCAACGCTCTTCAGTTCAAGCAGGATCCTAACGGTAAATTGGCTAATCCCAGAATCCTTTGAAGGGGAAGTCCCTCTTGATATTAAATTGGTTTTAATGGAAGCAGAAAATAAGAGGAACAGATCAGCGAAAGTTTGAGCAAATTCTGATTAAAATAAGAAAGTTATGAATTATTTGAAATTGCGATCAAATCAAACACAAATTGGCAACACTGTGACGTATCTTGTAGCACTAACCTCCTCTCCAATTTATTTCTTTAACTTTCATTTTCTTCATTATTGATGATGGAATATATACCGTACATATATACATGTAGAAACATATTTAGGGTGCAAGTATGATTGAAAATTTTCCTGATGGAAAATAAGAATTTCTGATTTAACTTGAGTTTGTAAGCCTTGGACTGTTTTTCATGAATACCTCAGTACTAGTGGACACTTTATTACTATTTTGATATTTATTATCATTATTAGTATTATCATTTTCTTTCTCTCTATGACTCTATCTCTTCTTAATTTGAGTCACAATGAGACAAGTCATGAACTTGCCGAGTCCTGTTCATTATCCAATTGTAACTTTACCTGTGGGCCGTGCATAAGCACTAGTGCACTCACAAACATCAATTATTTGTATATGATGGTGGATTTGAATATAGTTTCAAATATTCATTAAAACATATTTTGTTGATTTTGTTCATCTTAAAGATACTTTCTAAATACACACCTTTCATTAAAAAAGTGTGATTTAATCAGGGCCCTCAACGTTCATAACAAGTTACAATAACTGTTATAAGTCAATGAAATTGTGACATTGGTTTGGCTGAGAGCAAATTTGTCATGGAAATTCAGCTCTTGTTATTGTTAATAATTTTTATGAAACAGGGCGCCGATTAGACAAAGAGAGAGAGAGAGAGAGAGAGAGAGAGAGAGAAAGCGAAAAGGGAAGGGGGAGAGGGATACATTTTGTTGCAATGAGGTTGTGTGGAACTCAGGAGAAGAAAACAAATCTCTTTTTAATATGTGTTCTTTTGTTTTTTATTTTCATTTTATCTTAATCTAGAACTTGTAGAACAAGTCAGTGCTTGGGTGGAGGAGTACCGGACCAAGTCTAAAGGACTCATGCGATTATGGCTCGGTCCTTTCCCCGTTCTTTTTATCTACAACCCACACGAAGTTGAGGTGAGTTAATCTGATTGCAGATTTAATCAACAGAGGACCAGAATATTGTTTAATGCTCAGTGGCTGCTGGGCTCACGATCAATTGGGCAAAAAGAATTTCTGTTTCGGTTTAATAAAATTTGGAGTGGACTATTATTATTATTATTATTATTATATTTGCCTCCTCAGATTGGCAAAATTTCTGTTCTTTTTAAATCCAACATTCTTGAAATCAAATGTGATAAACAAATAGATGTCAATTTTGTATGAATTAAATTTATTTACTCTCTTTTTTTTCTTCAAAGGTTGCTCATATGTACCAAACCTGATTTTACATTTCATTTTGTGTTGCCAATTTACAGATTTAGTGCTTGCTTTGTAGAAATCATGTATGTTCATGAACAACATGATGTAAGGCAATAGAAATTGGTTGCAATTTTTAATTTTGGGTTCTTTTTGCCCATGAACTTTTAGCATTCAACATTAAAAATCATAATACAATGTCACCTTTACATACTAAAAGATAAAATTATATAATGTATTTTAAGGTGAAGAAGGATTGTGAGCTTGATATCTTATTTCTTATTATTAAATATCTTGTATTTTTCTCCAACTTTGCATATTATTTAATGTATTGAATTGCATCAAACTGAAATAATCCACCTCCCCATTAGAAATGTTTATTGTTGAGATTGTCAAATAGATCTTTGATAAAACTTATCTTTCATATATGAAAATAAACAGAAATTAATCCCCTTTTTAAATGCTGTGCAATTTGAATCATACCATGTACAGTATGTATCAGGCACGGATCCAGGATTTCTTAGGGGTGGGGGCCCAAGGGGTGGGGGGGGGGGGGTAGTGAGCACTTTTTTTTTTTTTGGCCTCTCCAAAAAAGGTAAAACTAACGTTAAAAAATGTAAAAGTACACATTTTTTTTTCCCGGGGGGGGGGGGGGGCGAGCCCCCCCCCCCCCATGGATCCGCCACTGGTATGTATGCTTGACTGAGCATAGCCATTTGAAAATAAATGAGTCTCTGAAGGAATATAGCAATATTGAAGCATTTGGCCTTCCAAACGTTGATGAGCAATCCTACATATCCTACGACTGGTCCATGATCTTGAGAGGGTAGGACAGGTATCTTGACCATGCTTGTCAAAACCACTCAGTCCTGAGACTACAGTTGACATCCAGAGCTAAATCATCATTGTTTCTCATTCTTTGTTTTCATGTAGAAAAAAAGATGCACATGTCCATTAATATTTGAATGGCTACTTACCCTATTTTTGAATTTTTCTTAATCAGACTATAACGTTTGACATTTTGAAACTTGATTTTAATAAAAGTTGGTAGAGTATTACTATTAATTTTTTATTTAATTTGATTAATTTTATCATATTTCTTTGATGGTTTATACTTCATATGAAAATTTTGAACAATAAAGAGTGTCCACTTCTTTTTTTCGCTGAGTGTGGATATTGTATGCACATACAATAACATGGTACATGTACTAAGAGGAATGTAGAATGCAAAGTTTAAGTAGGTAGATGCAAATAAAACAATGACAGGTACTCATATTATTTTGTGACCTAGTTATTCTCAGATATCAGTGAAGTGTCCATGTCTTGATAGCAGAGAAGTCCAATGTTTATTGTGCAAAAGGTTAATTGTTGAAACAAAGATAGGAGACACGCTATATCAAACATGTTTAAGACTCATTTTGATTCGATCAGTACATACATGTACTGTGACATAACTCTTTGACTGTCTGTTTCACATTTGAAAGGCAGACCTACATTTTATAATTAGCCTAGAAATGTGATTTTCCAATTTTCTTAAATTATCCTCTAATTTCGGTTAATAGGCCACTTTGTACTGTAGATAGTATCTGCACATGGGCAGATACTTCATAAAAGTCATTTGTACAAAGCTGTAAAAACCCATTGAGATGACTGCTTTATGCCTGTTCATGAAAGTTATGTAATCATTATTGATACACTGTATATGCACCAGAGTTACGTTCTGTGATACAAATGTGGAAATATTGTTGTCAAGAGGTCAAACAAAGGGTATTCATTATCTCTCTCGCTCTCTCTCCCTCTCGCTCTCTTTCTCTTTCTCTCTTCCTCTCTTCCTCTCTCCCTCTTTCTCTCTCCCTCCATCTCTCTCTCTCTCTCCCTCCCTCCCTCCCTTCTTCCCTCCCTCCCTCCCTCCCTCCCTCCCTCCCTTTTTCTCTAGTTTAACTTGGTTTATGTAAATTCATTTTGTTTTGTTTTGTTTTTCACTTGCCAACGTTGTAGCAAATTCTAAGCAGCAGTCGTCACATCAAGAAGGGGTTCGTCTACTCGTTCCTGGAGCCATGGCTTGGCTTGGGCCTTCTTACAAGGTAAAAACAAGAGTCATTATTGATGAACCAGCAGCCCCCCCCCCCCCCCTCTCCCACCCCCAAAGAATTTTGGAGCTAAAGCATATTCTTTAAAAACAAATGTATTTACCGTATTGATTATCAAGATTTCAACTACAAAATATGTATAAAATCACAAATGAGCATAACAAAAAAATTAATTACATGAAATTTGAAATACCAAATATTCAAAAGTATGAAAAAGTGGTTTGAAATTTAACTAACATAATTGCTGTGTTTCTATATTACAATTTTACAAAGCCTGATACTGTAAAAGTAGAAATATTCCGGTACATTAATTTTTGTGGCTTTCGCGCTCAGGGAAAGCGCCAATTATAAAACTCGCGAAAATATAAGCATGACTTCTTAAGTGTGTTTTGAACAGGCTTGATTGCGTGAAATGCGAATTTGATAACCAGCAAATAATTATGTTTTGGGTCGCTCAGCGCGGAAAATTAATCACATAGAAATTACGGCGTTTTCAGTATTCGAGTTAATAATCATACAGAGCTGCCAACCATTCAGTTTTTGCCAGCATTACTCTGTTTTTTCCTACAAATTACGGTATTACGTTTTTTCTTCATAAAATACTTTTTTTTTTTTTTTTTTTACATACTGCCCGTCAAACAACTGCCCTAAAATGGTGATTTGATCACAAATTCAATAAAAGACTAAAGTTAGAACATACTTGAAAAGAAAAATATTCTCAAAAAGAATGAAATGCTGATAATACCAAAATAACCACCAAACAAAATTCCTGCTTGTATGGAAAAAACAGAATGATGAATGAACATTTCTGCATTGGAAGTGTGTCACGCTTGGTCGTAAGTTTCGTTTTTATAAATTCCTTTTTTTTTGCTTGAAATTCCTTTTTTTTTGCCATCATGATTCCTTTTTTTGGTTGCACAAGGTTGCAGCTCTGATCATAATATAAACCTTCACTTCTTGAAGTGAAGATGGAATTTCCCTCCTTTTTTGGCCACATAAGATGTTTTGATTAAAGCGATGTTACCCTCTCTGGAGAGGATGAGGCTGCGATGGTATGAGAACTTTGCGACAGCGAAATAGATTAAGACATGTAAAGAAATGGAAAGCGGAAGACGGTGATGGGCAGAGGAGGAGATGTATTAAAGTTGTGTACCCAGACAGGTTGATTTTAAACAGTACTTCAACCAGGTTAAGATGGAATATTTCATAACTTTTTTAAAACCTATGCTAGCCCATATTATAAATGACATGTATCTATGATAATTAGTGCTATTTGATGCATTTTTTCGTTCAATCCAAAGGCAAATTGATAGCTTTATTTTTTTTAACCAGCCAGGCAAAGAACCCACCCGTCATATATATGAAGAAAGTGAGGGTGAGAGACTAGGACGACAGATGTAGGGAGATATAGAATCATGAGAAATTATATACTTTTGGAGAATAGTAAGCTAAACTAATAAGTAATTTTTGTTTAAATTGTAATTTTCATAATTACATCTCTTTTCGCTTCTGCATATTTACTTAAAGAGAAAAAGAGAGATAGAAAAATTAGGATTATCCACTTTTGGAGAATACTAAGGTAAACTAATTTCCGAGGTTTTTCAAATTGTAATTACATAATTATATAATCATAATTCCATCTCATTTTGCTTCTGCATGTTTACTATCCCCTCAGCACTGGTAAAAAATGGTTTCATCGCCGGAAGATGCTAACCCCAACGTTCCACTTTGCCATCCTGCACAATTTCATTGAGGTTTTCGACGAGCAGAGCAATACCTTGTGCCAAAAGTTTGGCGAGCATGCCCAAAAGCAGGATCTGGTCAACATCTGCCCCTTGTCACTCTATGTGTGCTGGACATCATTAGTGGTAAGTTGCTTTCATACTTGCAGCTTTGAGGGTCAAGAAATCACATTCAAATCGAAAAATTGAATTTTGTGCATTTCATGTTACAGACAGCATTAGTGATTTTCTTTGCGGTTACGGAACATGGTCGTGGCATGGTTGATACTTCAGCCCTTTTTTTTTCTTTCTACTAACCTATCATGAAACATACAGCTCCACTACGAGGAATATTTTGTTCTGGATTGAGAAATTCTGATATGCTTCATATGTGAGATAACCTACTTCCTTGCCCCGCCTCCGGTCTGCCCTCAACCATCTCAACTTGGTTAGAGGAGTCCAGAAGGAGTCCAAAATGCAGAGCAGAGGATATTTCATGTTAATTTGGATCTGGATTAAGTCCAAATTTGACCCACTTTGACAATGAATATGAAAGTAATTGTTGTCATTCCTTCATAGGTTTACCATGATTTACAGCTTTAAATGTGCCCTAGATTTTTTTGTTCTTGCCTTTTTTGTTTTGTTTTTTGGACAAACATAATTATTAGGCTTTCCCAAGTATAGTCTAGGAACAAAGGTTGTGTGTGATGGTATTGTATGAATATGTATGATGCTATTATTAGCCTTATTATCTCAAGTGTATGGTGAACAAACACCCAAAGTGATTGTCATTTGTGTTATGAACTTTATCTTTCCCTCTCTTTTTCCATCTAATCATCCATCCATTCTCTGTCTGTCTGTCTGTCTCTCTTTCACTGTATCTCTCTCTCTCTCTCTCTCTCATTCTTTTTCCCTCCCTCCCTCCCTCCCTCCTTCCCTCCCCCTCTCTCTCTTCTTCTTCCCCCTCCTCCTCTCTACCCTCTCTCCCTCCCTTCTCTCTCTCTCTCTCTCTCTCTCGCTATCTCTTTCTCTCTCTCTCCCCCTCTCTCTCTCTCTCTCTCTCTCTCTCTCTCTCTCTCCCTCCCTCTTTCTCCCCCTCTCTGTTGAATAGAGACTGCTATGGGCAAGCAACTACATGCACAAGATGAGAGCAACAATGACTATGTGAATGCGGTTATGAGGTAAGCAAATCTGAGGTTTTAGTTTACCAGTTATACAACACCACCTCAGTCAGTTTCCTACACTAAAGTCCAAACTTGAACCCTGGATCGGACATCATACTTAAAGGGATAGTTGAGTTCTGTTGCAAAGGGCGCTACACAAAATAATTTTTTTGTTAGATAATGAAAAACTGAGTGTCAAATTTGAAAGAACATACAATTTAAATGACAAAATCATCTTCTTTTGATCAAAATCAGTTCAGAGACGGCTGAAATATCCATAAACATAACCATGGGGCACCACAAATATTTGGTAATTTTGAACCAGCAGTTGAAAAACGAGATTGTGACTTTATACGTTTTATTCCAGCCATTGCCAATATTGGCTTTTTGTTGGCTTTTTCGTGTTCGTCATAATACGCACAACCAGATGGCCCATGTATTGTTATTATTAATTAATTAATTAACGGTCAATATATTTTTTGGGAAAGTGGAACTGAATTGATATGATCGTATTTAATTTAAATTCGAATATTTTGGGATCTAAAATTACCTTCATAGCAATTTTAGGTTCTAAAAGGGCACTAAAAATGTTGTAAATAAGAATAAGATCAATAACCATGCACTTTGAAGGCATTTGCGGTCTTAAACAAGAACTCAACTATTCCGCTTACCCTATCCCTGTCCCTAACCCTAACCTAAAATCAAAGCATTCTTAATTCTTAACCACATACCTTTGGCAAAAAAGAAGCCTGGAGCAGTCGTTGCCGGAATAAAAGTTGGGTCTCCTAGATTTAATACCCAAGTTCAATCTCATTGAAACCACTTCAAAACCAGAGACTTTTTTGCAAATTTTGCGAGTGGTCAAGATTCTCAAAAGTTTCATGCTGCCATTGATACAACACTGAACTTTCGTGCTTCACAAAAGTTTCTTGCAGTGAAACCCGCTGCGGTTTACGATCCAGGAATTTTTCAGGTTACAAAAATTTCTGATTTGACAGTAAAAATCATTGATATGAAAAATTCATTTGGCATGGGACATTAATTTTCTAACTAACTAAATTTGATTATATCGATCAGAAGTTTTCTATTTAATTACGGTCTCCCTAACTCTAAGGTTCATAGTTGTAATTGATATCAAGCTGCAATGGATTTGCATCAATTGCAGTTCTTATAACACCAGTGGTGTAGCGTGAGCTCAGTCATTGAAGGGGGGGGGGGGGGGGGTACCCGACTTTAGTTACTAAATCAGCTTTTATAATTTTGTTATATCGTGTGTCATTTGATTCCCCCCCCCCCCCCCCCCTCCCACTGTAGTGTAGCTATACCACTGTATAAAACAGAGCTCAGAGCTTTTGCATTTTCTGGTTCATATCATAAGCAAAGGGGAGATTGTCATGAAGCTAGATTAAGGATAATATGCACAATAAAAGTGCATTTAGGGAAATATCAATAGTAGCTTAAAAGTAGATATTTTCTTGTTGTCTTTCCCAGAATGAGTGATATTATTCAGCAGAGACAGAAGAAGCCATGGTTTTGGCCAGACCCACTTTTTGACAACACAAAATCAGGCAAGGAGCATGCTCAATGTCTACAAATACTACATAAAATGACAAATACGGTGAGTCAGTGCTTTTCATTCTTACATTCATTCCTTCATTCGCTCACTCATTCATACATTCAATCACTTATTTATTCTCTCAAGTATTCATTCATATTTTAACGTATTCCCTCATTCTTTCATTCATTCATTCTTTCATTCATTCCAAAATACTTACATTCATTTATTCATTCACTCATCGATCCTTTCATCCATTTATCAATCCATCTATCCATGGCATTTATCCATCTATTTAATAATAATAATAATGGTATTCACATATGTATAGCGCTTTTTACTAAGTTTCTAAGCACTTAACATTGTAATTATTATAACCCCGGTCTCGCATAAAACTTGAATGGAAAGACAAAATAATTAGAAGTGGAAGGATTGCTAATTTATATTATACAGAACACTGCAAAAATATAGGAAGCTATGTGTTTGAATTTTGTTACAAAAAGACAGATATATGCTACTTTTAAGGAAATTAAGATTAAGTTAGTGATGTTTGTCGGTTCTCTCTCTCTCTCTCTCTCTCTATGAAAGCTCATTGATGAAAGATCAAAGGAAGAAAATCAGAAAGTGGATAGCAACGACAATGATGGCTCGAAGAGAAGAATCGCCTTCTTAGATCTTCTGTTAAAGATGCAGAGAGATGATCCAAGTTTTACTAAGAGTGATATCCGAGAGGAGGTGGACACATTCATGTTTGAGGTAAGTTGTAGGAGAAAAATGAGGAGGGGCAGAGGAGGAGGGGGAGCAGAAGGAGGAATGAGGGGAAGAAGGAGGAGGAGAGGAGGAGGAGGAGAGGAGGAGGAGGGGGAGATGAAGAATGAGAGTGGGAGGAGGAGGGGGAGCAGAGGGGGAATGAGGGAAGAAGGAGGAGGAGAGGAGGAGGAGGAGAGGAGGAGGAGGGGGAGATGAAAATGAGAGTGGGAGGAGGAGGGGGAGCAGAAGGGGGAATGAGGGGAAGAAGGAGGAGGAGAGGAGGAGGAGGGGGAGGAGAAGGGGAGGGGAGGAGGAGAGGAGGAGGAGGAGAAGAAGAAGGGGAGGAGGAGGGGAGGAGGAGGAGAAGAGGAAGAAGAATGAGGAGAAGGAGAAGAAGAACGAGGATGAAGAGGAGGAGGAGATGGAGATTGAAGAGGAGGGGGTGGAGGAGGGGAGGAGTAGAAGGAAGAGTGGGGGTACAAGGAGGGAATGAGGGGAAGAAGGAGGAGGAGAGGAGGAGGAGAAGAAGAAGGGGAGGAGGAGGGGAGGAGGAGGAGAAGAGGAAGAAGAATGAGGAGAAGGAGAAGAAGAACGAGGATGAAGAGGAGGAGGAGATGGAGATTGAAGAGGAGGGGGTGGAGGAGGGGAGGAGTAGAAGGAAGAGTGGGGGTACAAGGAGGGAATGAGGGGAAGAAGGAGGAGGAGAGGAGGAGGAGGAGGAGAAGAAGAAGGGGAGGAGGAGGGGAGGAGGAGGGGAGGAGGAGGAGAAGAGGAAGAAGAATGAGAAGGAGAAGAAGAACGAGGATGAAGAGGGGATGGAGATTGAAGAGGAGGGGGCGGAGGAGGGGAGGAGTAGAAGGAAGAGTGGGGGGGGGGGTACAAGGAGGGAATGAGGGGAAGAAGGAGAAGGAGAGGGGGAGGGGAAAGAGAAGGAGAGGAATAGGGGGAGGAAGATAGTGATCATGATGGTGTTAATGATCATGATGATAAGGAGGAAGATACCAATGATGATGATAATGGTGGTGCTGCTACTGCTGTTGAAGATTTTATCGGTGGTGGTGATGATAATGTTAGGATGGGGAATCACCTGTCCTCGCCTGTGATAATGACCCAGCCCTTTTATGGTTAATTTAATATCAACAATGGGAAGAGCAAGTGCGTTTACACAACGTAACATTAGTTTCACTTTATAATGTTTATCATTGTTTCATCTTTCATTCCAGGGTCATGACACAACAGCAGCGCTGGCTTCCTGGGCCATGTTTCTTATCGGACATCATACCAGGGTGCAGAAGAAATTGCACCAGGAACTTGATAGCGTCTTTGGTAAGAAAAACATTCATCTTACAACAGAGTCAGTTATCTGATCTGGGGTGTATTTCACAAAGATCCTAAGTTGAACTTATCTGTAAAGCCTCAGTCACAAATGCCATTACGAACTGTTACTAATGATTTTCAGACAATGGAAAAATAGGGAGATTTGTACGAACGATGCGTTCGTACGAACCTTTGTGTCCGTGGCTTAAGTTTGACTTAACAATTATGGAAAGCCGTTTTGCTGTTGAATATATTTTATTTTAAGGCTACAAATGGCTCTCCATAATGTTTAAGTCTAACTTAGAGTTAAGTTCACCTTAGGATCTTTGTGAAACACCCCCCTGATATTCTTTTGCAGTCCAACCCAGGTCACAGAAGCTTCCCTACTTGACATGTGTCTTCAAGGAGATCCTGAGGCTCTTTCCGTCTGCACCTATTGCATTATGCATTCCTGCTGTGTCTTTGTGTGTCACTTCAGTTTCAGTTTTATTTTATTCAATTTTGTTTTACTTCAATTGGCTCAGTTACCTAAATTTGTGTTCACTTTGGTCCCAAATTGTCGAACCCAGATAATAGAAGCTGATCCCTACCTGACATCTGTTCTCGAGGAGACCCTTTGTTTCCATCCATACGTATGGCATTGTTCTTGACGCCTCTTTACAAGCCACCAATGCAGTTTGCTAAGCTATCCCCAAGCCCTATGACCTTTGTCTTCAAGGAGACCCTAAGGCTCTCTTCATCTGTGGCTATCACATTCTGGGGCTTTATGTGCCACTACATTTCGTTAAGTTACCTAAATTTCATTTCACCATCTATCTATTCAATCCAGGTGACGGTGATAGACCAGTAACAGCCGATGATCTTCAGAAGCTCCTCTTCCTTACCTGCATCCTTTAATTGTCTCTTTCCATCAATACCTTTCGCATTGATCCAGACTCCTTATTACAGGCCTGTACATTTTGCTTAGCTATCCCAAAACCCTTGATCTTTGGCCCTAACTTGTTCAACAGTTATAGACCAGTGACAACCAATCATCTTCAAGGAGACACAACACCTCTTTCCATCCTTACCTTTCTCATTATTCCAGACTCCTCATAATCCGTTTGACCCAGGTGACAGTGATAGCCCAGTGACAACCAATCATCTTCAGAAGCTCCCCCACCTGAAATATGTCTTCAAGGAGACACTTCACCTCTTTCGCGATTGATCCATACCTATTGCATCAGACTCCCCATTAATACAAGCCAATACACTATCACAAAACCTTTTCACCTTCGTCCATAATCTTTTTGACCCAGGTGACAGTGATAGACGAGTGACACCTGAGGATCTTCAGAAGCTACCCTACCTGACTTGTGTCCTCGAGGAGACCATGTTTAGTTATCGCAATATGCACTCTAAATGTGTCTATATTTTCCACTACAGTTTGCTAAGCTTTCCCAAAACTCTTTCACCTTTGTCCTTAATCTGTTTAACCAAGGTGACAGTGATCGACCAGTGACGGCCGATGATCTTCAGAAGCTACCCTACCTGACGTGTGTCCTGAAGGAAACCCTGAGGATCTTTCCGTCCGTACCCATCGTAGGACGGGATCTCCAAGAAGACTGTATCATTGGTAAGCAGGATGCCCATGTATGTTTTTCTATTTTGTAGCAAAAGGGAACTTAGAATGTAACTTCATTTTTCCGGCATTCGGTTTCTGCACTCCTGGGGGGTGTTTCACAAAGATCCTATTAGTAGGACTTAACTTTAAGTTGGACTTGAAAATTATGGAAAGCCATTAGCATCTTTGAAATTATTTTGTAAAAGTTATTTTGAAAGGCATTAATTGTTTATTCAAATCATTCATATTTTCTATCATCAAGGAGATTTCATGTTCTGGATGTGGAATTTATAAAAAGTCTAAAATACTTGAATTTCTACTTTGGAATATATTTCATTTTAAGGCCCCAATGGCTGTCCATAATTTTTAAGTCCAACTTAGTGTTAAGTTCTACTTAGAATCTTTGTGAAACACCCCCCAGTTTATTCAATTCCAATAAAAATATACAAAACAGAATAACAGTATGAATCGACCAAGAGTACAAAATGAGGTAAAACGATAAAACAATAAAGCGATACATCAGATAACATCACACGATAGAGCATTATTGGAATTGGGTGGCCATAAAAAAAAAACATGAGGATTTGTTGAGACGACCCTTAATAAAGGTAAGTTTCATTGAACATTCAATATAATATAGAAAATGTAAAAGCTAATAAAGTTGTAGTGACCAAACTCGTTTTTACCTTTTCAAAACTTGGTTTTTCATTTAAGAACACCGTACAGCATATTGGGTGTGTCTAATTTAAAACATACGTGTCAGACCCGAAGCCTTATTACTTTAATGGTCACGTGGGTCTGTGTACTTACGTTAAGGACAAAGTAGTCCCTTGATTATTTATCTATAAATTGTTTGTAGCCGCTGAGGCGTAACTTGAGGTGTCTTTTATACAAACCACGCTACAAAGCTACAACAGACGATGACGTAGTATTATTTCTTACCCGTGTGACATTTAGTCTAGGGGGTTTCCATTTTTTTATTCATTAAAAACGAATAAACTTCATTCAACTTCATCACGACGTCCCATACTCTTCGTTTTTGTTTGGCTATGATTTGAACCGTGGAACACGCGTCCCACAAAGTACTATAAAGGAATAAACAATTACGAATATATGACATATTTTATTTAATAAAATACAAATTACTATTATTCTTATCATTTTGACGACTTCAGAACCTTGCAGTGCACACCAATACTTATATGCTACATGATCAATGTTTTCTGATTGATTCCGCACCAATTCTTTCACAGTGCAATCTCAAATCTGAGATGCATGGCCCTACATGTTATCAGTGTCTGTGATATGGTGTAATATTGAAGCCCTAAAAGAATTGTGCTTCAAAATGATCATGAAGTGCCTCAAGAAAGTAAAATTCTTTGAGTGACCGGTTTTACCATACTCATTTTCCCCGACTGTAGTGTTATAAAAACCATTAGGAAAATGAAAAATGAAATTTTGATTTCCAATCATAACTATCTTGATAATCAGACAGGCGACCGGCTTTTAAAAGTCATGGGGTTCCTGACTGACCCAAAGGTTTATATTTATCATTGCAGCATTAGCTTAATCAAGGATTTTGTTTCAGAATCTGAGACACAGTTACCCAATCCCTTTACCATTAATCTTCTCCTTTATTTGTAGATGGTAAGTTAGCCCCTAGAGGCACGCTTCTCATCATCGCCATAGGATCTCTTCATCGAGATCCCACACAGTTCCCCGAACCGCTCATGTTTGATCCGGATCGGTTTTTGCCGGAGTCTTCTTCAAAGAGACATCCGTTTTCCTATGTGCCTTTCTCCGCAGGACCACGGAATTGTATCGGTAGGTTTCAGTGGATTGATGCTTCATTTTAAAAGGGTTTGCTTGTTAAAGGGATCGTTTAACAATGTTAAATCTGAGATACACGGTCCTACATGTTACCAGTGTCAGCTGTGATATGGTGTAATATTGAAACCCTAAAAAATTGCGCTTCAAAATGATCAAGAAGTGCCTCAAAAAAGTAAAAATCTTTGAGTGACCGGTTTTACCATACTCGTTTTCCCCAATAGACTGTAGTGTTATGAAACCGTTCAGCTAAAAATTTGTAATTCCAATCATTAATATCTTGATAATCAGACAGGCGATCAGCTTGTAAAAGTCATGGAGTTCCTGACTGACCTAAAGGTTTATAATTATCATTGCAGCATGAGCTAAATTAAGGATTATTTCTAAAGGATCTAAGACAAAGTTACCAGATCCCTTTAAGCAAATTGCACTGTACTTTACCATTAGATATGAAGATTCAACCCTTATTCAGATACGAAGGGGTCAACTGCAGCAGTTTTTTGTAATATGATTACCTAAAGTGTAATACACTTCGACTTTCTGTATGTCATACTCAGACCTAAGTGAATATGGGAAAGAAACTTTGGCCGGAAGTTGCTACCGTATTCATTTACACTTTTTTTAATAAAAATAATAATAATAAAGATAGATTTATTTAGCGCATAAAAAAACCAAAGTTTCTCTATGCGCTTTACAAAGTAAAAAACAAGCAAGTACAAGTATATTTAAATAGTTACAAATTAAGAACGAAATATAAAGACCTTCAACTGAATACATGTAGCTAAGAGAATTCATTGCGAGCAAAGTTAATACAAATTATAGCAAATACTTATGACAAATCAATTAGAGTAGCATATTCAATTATAATACATAGATGAAAAGTAATGTCAAAAAGTACAAACGAAACAGGTAAGTTTTAAGAAGGGTTTTGAAAGTCTGTCGCTCTGGTTTACCATATCATATCTGAACAAGCTTTCAGACATATGATTTTTCTTGATTAAGGTACGGTACATCATTTTTTATCAAATAAGAACCCACTGCACTATTTGAATTAGAGTAGGGGAACCCCAGTGTAATGCTCCGTCTGCACATCTCCAATACTGGTAGGAGAGATCCGAGGGTTACAGTGATTCAGTTCGCATAATTTTCCCTTCCCAGGCATAAGTAATGCCAAACACTTTATAATGATAATCATCATCAATAGTGATCTGTCTTTATGACAGGTTCAGTGACCAGAATTCTATATCAAGTGTCTCTCCACGTACCTCGTACATTGCTCCACATTCTGTGATTACATCGTCTAAAAAGCCTTATGAGGTCTTCCTCTCTTCTTCTTTCCATGTATACGACCTTCTATGACTCTGATCATCAAGCCATCATCATGTCGCATTATGTGTCTAAGCCATTTCTTCATAATGATAATAATAATCTAATTTCCATAATGATAATAATAATCAAATTTTCTTTCAGGTCAGCGATTTGCTCTGATGGAAGACAAGGTCTTGTTGGCCAACGTTCTGCGTTGCTTCTCCCTGGAGTCTACCCAGAGTCTCAAAGACACCATGCCTATCGCTGAGTTGATCCTCCGCCCCTCGGAAGGCATCCACATGAAGATCACACGCAGGAAAGGAATATCTAACCTTGATAGCAAACTACTCCAAAGGAAGCAGAACAATCAGAGAAGTAGACTGGTGACAGTATAATAACATCAAACAAAATGAGGAAGATATGATTTGTTAAACTTTGTAATCACTATAAATATAAACACTTCAAATTGGCTGAATTGATAATGTCACTGTGACATAGTGACAGATAACTTTCCTTTGTTTTTACTCACAAAATGTCTAAGATGTCAATTTTCTTAATAATTGACTCAGGAGGGTCTTCATTTTAGAGGACATGTTTTAATATGCTATCCATATTTTGAGTAGTGCTCCAACAGAGATGTTTTGGAGAAAAAGGGGAATTGATGTTTTTTGTACACAAAAACGGGAGAGTTGTCTGTCACTATATCACAATCCACGGACCAAATTGCCAATATGAGATTTTGTAGAGACTTTGCGATGGCATATTTCAAACATGCATAATTCATGTCCGATTTATTGCAAACTGTCGTCAGTCTGTTTCTCTTATTGTGTTGTTCATGGTATTTCCACCGATGGGTCTGACAAGATTTTTAGCCTCAGGGAACATCGTGGCTTGATCCCAAACCACAGATTTTAACTTGTTTGCAGCGAGACAAAATGCAGTCAACCGAGTCGCTCTGCTTTTCCGATTTGAGAAAGAAAAGTCCAGAGCCTGCTTAGACTGCTTGCCCTCATAACTAATTTGGGTTGTTGAGAGTGCAGTCAACAGGCCTGATAAAAACCCGATTTAAATCGGTTTCCCGATTTGTTTATTTTTCCCGATTTTTTCCTGATTTTTTTTTTCTTCCTGATTTGATCCTGATTTTCTCTATTCTTCCATATTGTGACAGATATATGAAAATGATCTTTGTATTTCTACTCTTTCTCTTTCTACTCTCTCTCTTTATATATTCAATACTTGTAAATATTGTGACCATTATAAATATAAAATGTCTTTTACAGTCGTTACTTATTTGTGACATGTTTTTAACGGATTGCTCTGAACGAGCGACTAATAACAAGTAGCATGTGCTCTTGTTGATAAACAATGCTTAATTTATTCCACTATAGATCGATAACTTAATATTCATGTATTATTCATTAGTTTAAGGCACGATCCAAGGTGCGCAGCCAATTAAATGATTGTATATGCGCGTACAGCTTTCTTTTCCATGCGCGACCCAACCAGTATAAATAGTCCGCGCGTGGGTTACTGGGTTACCCAGGTACGTGACTGACAGCTTTTTACAGGCTAGTACGCGACTACAGTTTTATTTGCAGGGTATTACGCGAAAGGTGAATATAAATAGTGACTCATACAATGTTTACTTATGCAAATTTACTAGGATTGTTCTAAAATGATAGAGGGAGAGGGATATTTTATTGTTCTATGGATCAATGCGGTCAGAGTGGTGTATATGAAGAGAGGTTTTGAAATATTTTTTATGGTGATATATTAAGTTGGAAATAGGCATCTATATTTGTTATAGTTTGGATGGGGGGGGGGGGGGAAGCAAGACAGAATGTCCAGTACCGGTAGTGAATGGACGAAACGTCCTTGAACTTGTCTAGGACGGTCGGTGCGTCCTATTTTAGAGGGACGGAACGTCCCATTATCGTTTTAGGGACACAGTGTCTCCCTTAAGTGTATGAATATTGGCATGGGATTATAGTTGAATTATTATAGAGATATCATTATACAAATACATGAAAGATGTTTTTATTATGTGAAATGTCTATTTTTGTGTGATTATCTTCTTCTTTGTGAAGATAATATTGCCATTGTTAAGGAATAAATCTAGAATTGGTCAACCTATTTTGGAAGAGAGAGATTTTGCTCTTTGGTGTCCTAATTGATTAATTTGGACACATAAAATTGAGTGTGATTCAGGTCGTTGGGCAGACTGACAATCTGTCCCAAATGCGGTCATATCTCAAGTCTAGCCATTTCTAGTTTAATTTCTATGGCCAGTTTAACTATGTTTGATAAGAAATATTACATTGTATTGTTGTCTTGATTTTCTCCTAGACTATGAATATTTGGAAAGGAAGGCTTCGGTCCTTTGTGACCTAATTAAGGCCAAAAAGTCACCAGTGCCTCCGTAGTTTAATTTATATCATTTAATATTGTATAACGCTTAAACTTATAACACATGTATTCGCCTATCTAGAGGGCGTGATACTTCGTAGATCTTCTAATGATGTTTTAATTCATATCTTTAATATTGTATAACGCTTAAACTTATAACAAATGTATTCGTCTAGAGGGCGTGATACTCCGTAGATCGTATAATGATGTTTTAATGAACTTGATATTGTATATAGATATTGTATAGAAAGTGTATAAAGGATCGAGAGAGTTGGAGAAACAACTTTGTCGTATATCTATAGTTTATTATCTACATTTATTTAATGCATAAATAACAGTTTATTACAGACATGAGTGTAACTCCCCCCCCCCCCCCCCCCCTTTCTCCTTCTTCGTCCTGTCTTGGAAGGGACAGTGTGTCCTTCAACCTGGAATGGACACAGAACGTTATATGTATAGACAATGCATGGGCTTGTCTTGGAGGACACAGTGTCCTTAGATTTGGACATGGACACAGTGTCTCTCTTCTTCCCCCCCCCCCCCTTCTTACTCATTTGAATTGCACTCATTATTGTATATAGCATGACATGTATATTAATAGAATGACATTGAATAGTGGACAGTTGAATATGTACACTCGTAGTTAATTAATTAAATAGCTGCATTTACGAGCCTATCTAAATCAGGCAATTATTACTTTACTACATAATTAAGAGGTGCGAACTTAAGACAGTAAGGGACGAATTCAATGGAATGCCGGTTATCTTTGAATTTAGAAAGTCAAATCTTATACAAGTATATTCTGGAGTAAGTTATAACTAGGAGATAAATACTCGAGGCTAGTTTATAACGGTGATGATGGATTTATATAGGTACAATGTTTAACCGACAGAGTGTGTTAGCTTGTTACTTAATAAAGGAGTGGAAAGACTTTTGAAATCCTGGTCGGAAGGGTGTATTGGTTTTAATGTTCATTCTTATAGAATGGGGACGATAAAGGGACACATTGGCCAAAAGGTGTCGGGCGCAGGTAGATAGTTGTTTCAAGGGGTAGGAGTACCGAGAATACTAGTAGTCGGTCAGAATAGAGTTACTTGTAATAGGAGTTAGAAAGAAATGCTAACTTTGGTTTGACAGCCATGGTGGTTTGTAAAGTTCGTTAGAAAAGCCTCTATCTAAGTTCAGTAAGTTTATACATGTACATTATTTAAATCGTATGCAGTCTATACTAGTCAATTAAGTGTTGACATCCTGTAAATATAAAGCTAAGAAATACTGTATAAATTATATAAGCAGTAAACATTTATTACAATAATTAATTAATGTATATCTAGGGTCTAGTAGCAATCAGTAAGTTAGTAAGTTCATGGAAGTATTTCTATTCTTGTTGAGAGTTTTACAGTTCTTATATTGTTGAACAGTTGCCTAGAAATGGCTTAGTGAATAATAAATTCATTATTCGACTTTAGATCGATTTCAAGTTACAAATCTTGTTAGTCTGGTTTGCCTAGTAAATTAAGTATGCATTGTTGATGATGATACCGTACAAAATCTATAGTAGATTTAGAACTACTGTAGGATTTATTACTAAACAGGAACACAAAACTTCGTCTGTATATTTCAGACAAACGGACTCAGGTCATCGTGCCTTATATATCGCTCGGAAGTGTGAAAGGGAATAAGATACTATTTTTGTTATTTAGTGAGTGACTGAGTGGAAGACTTGATACACAGAAACGAATGTATGGGACATGATTATGGTCTAAATGGTGTTGTGAGGCTTGTTAGAGAGACAAAAACATGATTAGTTCCTACTTAATGATACTTAATTACGGTATCAGGGGTGAGAATAACACTCACCTATAAAAGGATGGAAGATATTGTGAAGTGGTTTGAGACTCTAGAAGCTAACTTTGAGTGGAAATGGCCAAATCAATACAGGATTTTCCCAGAGTGAGACAGTGCGTCTTGCACGTGACGAGAGACAGATTGGGAAAGGACGAGACAGTGCGTCCCAAAAGGAAGCAATTGCCATACGTCACAATGACTTTAAGCGTATACTAGTAGAAGGACGCATGGTCCGGTTTCTTAGGAATCTGTGTATGTAATGGCCCGGTCCCACTGGCCGATGGACAAAAACGTATGTATAAAGGACACAGCGGACGAGCAAAATTTCGCGGGTGGCTCCATCCGTTTTCATCCGGTCAAGAAATGGACAAAATTTGCGAAAATTTGCGAAAACAGAACGGAAAATAACGGACGTGGGTAGTATGTAGCGGGGATGTTAAACGGATGTTCATCGGAAACCTAGCGGATGAAAGCGGATGGAAGTGGATGACAGCTTTGAATACTTTATATACGAGATGCATACGCTTATATCCTTTCTATTTTCGTGCTACTAACGATGTAAAGACGTTCCATGTACCTTATCTTTACTCCCTCTTTCCGTTTTCAGCTGCAGCGGATGTGAGTTGCGAGGATGCCCAGAGGATGCAGAGAGGATACAGCGGATGTTTAACGGATGATAACGGACATAGAACGTTTGTTGCTCGTATTTGTCGCGGATTTACATCGTACACGGTGGAAGTTCATCCGTTTTAAAAGTTTTGTGCAGCTCAAAACTTTTTGCACGGATGAAATCACAGTGGACGGATGCTCGATGGATATAGCGTATGAAACACGTATGCAATGAGTACGGAACGGATGCATAGCGTTTTCCAACGGATGGCAAGATTTGTTTACGTTTTACATCCTCTTTGCATCCGTAAGTGCAGTGGGACCGGGCCTTAAGTGAGAGTGTATCAGATTACAGAGTGAATGTAAACACACAAACCGTGTTGTTTTGGAGATCCTAGCGCTCCAGATTAAGACACTACGTGGTGGCAGCAACCGTCATGGTAATTCATGGTATAAGGGACTGACATAAAAGTGGTTATTGATGTAGTCTTCTTTCCAGACCTGTTTTACTTGTATTCCCTATATTGATAGAATTCGCTATAATGGTAGCAGGAGAAAGTTTATGTAGCGATGGGGATGATTTTGGGACAATGGTGGAAGCATATTAACCACCCCCCTCGATTCCCCGATTCCCTAGATCCGTCACAATGGTGGCATTTCTATCAACCCCCCCCCCCCCCCCCCCCTTTTCTTCCCTGATTTCACGCCAGAACCGTCACAATGGTGGCAGCGGTGGGATTTCTATCAAACCACCCCCCCCCCCTTCTTCCCGATTTCACGCTAAAACCGTCACAATATTTTGCACTATTTTTACATATTTTGCCCTATTTTTCTCCAATTTTCTTACTCGAAAGGGGGGAATGTTGTTAGATGCCATTTTTTCCCCGCGAATCCTCTTTTCTTTTTTTTTTACTCAAGGGGGGCGTGGTTGAGGGGAAAACAAAAAACCTATTTTTTTTTAATGCTCACTATCACCCCTGAGTCAAGGACATTCATGTATGCTTCTCACTGTTAGATTGGTAAATTCAGTTGTTAAACACATGCTAAAGTAACACTAACCAAATTCTTCACTTAAAGATAAAGTTGAGTTCTGGTCATGCAATTGCATTGTGAAAGAAACTGTGTGGAATCGATCAGAAAAGGTTGATCATCTAGCCAATAAGTATCGGTGTGTACTGCAAGGTTCTGGAATCATCAAAATGATAAGAAATTTTGCCCGATCTTGGTAAAGTTACAAGCACTGTTGTCTGCATGCAGAAATATGTATATTGGGCTACACAAACATGTGGCATAAAAATCTGTCCCAATTTTTATGTTGTTACATGCCATATGTAGAATATGAAAGCATTTGAAGAGCCATGCTTTTCAGGGAACATTTTTTATCTGATGTTCTTCCACACTTGCATAATAACAATGATAATGCTCACAAATTATTTTTCACTTCTTCCCAGAACTAACCTTCTCTTTAAACCCTTGACCCACCACTATACCTAACCCTAACCTGAAGCCATATTGCAACCCTAATCCCTAGACCTTCCTTGAAACAACGCCTGAAGCAAGTGTCGACAGAGTAAATGCTGGGTCCCCATTACATCTTCCTCTCTGTTCTCTGTTCTCTGTTCTTGTATGTGTTATGTGCTTTCTGTTGTAAGAAGATACAAACATGTATTATTATGTGCTATCAGACAAACAAACAAATGCAAGAATGTATGGCGATATATATCATTTACCAATACATGTACAGTCAAACCTGTCTACAGCGACTGCCCAAGGGAAACACAAAAAGTGGCCTTTGTAGACAGGTGGTCTTTGTAGACAGGTTCCTTTAGTACATGATTTAATGAGAAACCATTTTCAAGGGAAACAACAAATGTGGCCTTTGTAGACAGGTGGTCTTTGTAGACAGGTGGTCACTAAAGCAGGTTTGACTGTATTATCAACTTGAGCCTGGTACATTAGCCTATTAATTTATGCCTTGAATTGTGTGTAGATTACGATACTGTACAAATGTGCGATTGTTAAAAACGATATGGAAGAATTACCTGTATATATTCTCCTTTGTACATTTGTAAAACATTTGTTTAATAAAGCTTTGATTGGATATATTTTTTAAGTGGAAATTCTATTCCATCAGTTGGCAATGAAATATATTTTCATGTTTCTTTGATTCAGTTTGATGATGTTAAAGAGAAGAAGAACAAATCTGCTCTCCCATAGCTGCCAATCAATTCTATTTTGGAGGAATGACTCCTATTTTGTTTTGGCCTTAAAAGTTCAAACTAAAGGTGGTACGAATCCTAGATTACTTTACTCTCTCTTTTTATGGAAATTTCTGTGTAAATGCATTCAAAATGCACTGTATTCCCAATTGTGTCTCTAGAGATTCCTATGAATGCTTTTCACTGAAATCTAAATACACATCTTAAAGGAGACGTACTTAAAATACTGTTCCTATCTTTTGCATGCTATTTCATAACTCTTCTTGTAAATATTTGCCTGAAAAGTTGTATAGGGATAACTGAACATCAATAAAATAAAAATAAGGGTTATCATTATACATACACAAGGCCCACCTGAATATCCCCTTCGACAGGAGTGCCTTTTGAAATTCATGTGTTTAGTATTCAAGAAACTGATGTAAAATCAAATGTAATATTTGTTTGTAAGATTTGTAACATTGTCCGATTCTGTGCAATAAATGATTAATATAACATGTAATTCATCTCATCTACGATATTCATTTTATGTTTGGTGCCAATTTCTTGAACTAGGTGTTAGGTGCTGTAAATGCATTTTACTTTTTGACTGATAACAAATCAAACATCACAAATATTATTTAAGGGATAGTCGAGTTCTGTTGCAGAGCTACACAAAATATTTTTTTTGTGAGATAATGAAAAAATGAGTGTCAAATTTGAAAGAACATCCAATTTAAAAGACAAAATCATCTTTGTTTGATCAAAATCGGTTCAGAGACGGCAGAAATATCTATAAATATAACGATTTCTAATACTTGTGTTCCACCACAAATATTAGATAATTTGAAAAAGCCGTTGAAAAAACGAAATAGCGCCTTTTACGTCGTATTTCAGCCTATGTCGATGTTGGCATTTTCGTGTTGGTTATATTACGCACAACCAGCCCGCCCATGTATTGTTATTTTTAATTAATTAATTAACAGTGACCATAAAAGGGCACTAGGAATGTCATAGATAAGAATAAGAGCAATAAACATGCACTTTGAAGGCATTTGCGGTCTGAAAACAGAACCCAACTATCCCTTTAAAGGGCCTATGTCCCATTTGCAGGCCAAAAAAATGAAAAAGTTAAATTCCAACTGCATTTGAAAGATAATACTAATTTAGAACTTCCCTAAAAAAGGTGGGGCTTGAAAATGTCTTTAAGTGGGAAAATAACGACTATTAGTTGTCAAATCGACTTTAGGGCTAGAGAGCCCAAAAGTAATAGTCTTGATTTTCAGACGATTGTACCGAATGGTCATACGTTTTATGCTGCGCAAAGATTCAATCAGTTTAATCTTGGCCATCACAAGAAGTGGGTTATTGCTGTAGAAAAATACTCATGTACCCTTTACAGCTCTTTTCATGTATGTTATTACCAAAGAAGAAAACAATAGTGTCTGACAGTAAAGTCTAGCAAGCAAACGGTTTTCCTTGCATTATTTGAATATGAGGACACTGTTAACGTTTAAATTTCACAGATAGGACATACATGACATATTCATAATTCCTGCAAAGTTCTACAGCATTTGAGGTTGGCTGCAAAAGGGACATAGTACCTTTAAGGTGAACTTTTCACTTTGTCCAGTTGTGGAATTTAATTTTGAGGAAACTGAACTTCTTAAAATATTTGTAGATTAATGCAAAGAACTTTTAATTAGATTTTTCACTTTTTGGCAAACTACGACCAGTACTAGACTCGGATCCCAACAATATCAGTGTGCATGGCCCTTGCCTTGACACATAACATCCTTTGCTATCCAGTTTCTTAAATAATTCACAATGAGATTACCCAAATATCGTGTTGAGGAACGGTAGATGCAGAGCATAATTACAGTAACATGGAAAGACACCCTACATCTCTCAACAAATATACTGTAAATCTAGAAATATTCACAACATCAAAGCAAGTTGGTTGCCATTCATTTATTTTGCAGTATGAAACTGAACCACTCGCACAATTTGCGAATATCGCGTGGAGATTCGGGTTTCCTCTTCAATATTGAGGACTTAATTATAGGGTATATGATATTTGTAATAACAAATATGAAGATTTTATTTGTTTTTGTAAGAAATTTATTCACAACTTCTGAATGATTCACATATGCACAAAGCGCTATATACATAATACTAAAATAACATGTCCTTTTATAGATATCTACATGACATAATGTATCTACAGGGTAACAATGTACAATTGTTTACTGGCAATGATATACACAACAACAAAAATGAAACAAAATAAACAGAAACAACCCCAAAATTAGCTGGGTCTAACAATGTGTGGTGTTTCCATGGTCCATGTATTTAAAAAAAAATGAAGGATCACTCCTGTAAAATTCACAATATCTTAATAAATGTAGTTCATAACAAAACAGATGAAAATTAATAATACCCATGTGGGTACCACTAACCTGATCCTTCAAAAACATAAAAACAAAACAAATGCATGAAAATGGAACACTTGTAAAAGTAAAGAGCGATTCCTAACACTACAGTTATCCTTCTGAATACCAGGTTCCAAATCTTACACTCCAACATGTAGACAAATCAAATAACGCCATGTCCATATCTCATTTCACAAAGTTTTTAAAAATATTAAATTTCAGTTCAATATAAGGATTTAATAAGATTTACATTTTTTTTAGATACAACTGTGTAATGGTTACACGAAGGTAAATGATTGAAATCTTCATGGATATAAATCACTGATATATAATAGGGGTGTTTTAGAATTATTGTCAGAACACACACAAAAATCTATAACGGTAACTTGGGCTACATCATGGCTTTGAAATAATAATAATGGGTTCTTGTATAGCGCTCATATCTGTCAGACTTGACACTTCTGGCGCTCCACATTTATTACCCTGGCTTTAGCATGGCTGCCATTACGGCGCTGTAGCATTTTAAAGAATTAATTCCTGCCAGGTACCCATTTACATCACCTGGGTTGAGTGTGGCAAATGTAGATTAAATGTCTTGCCAAAGGACATTAGGGCTGCGGCGGGACTCGACCCGCGGACCTTGTGATCCACAGTCCGCACGGTGACGTATCCACTAGAACACGACACCTCCACATAATAGAGAGGTCCAAGCTTCAAAAGCAAGTACAGAAATGCACTTGGGTAAGCTATCCCATGGCAAGGACTTGAAACTGTAGGTCCCCTAAGTTGCTTTCCTAATAAGAGTAAATTGGCTTTCTTACAACATGGTACAACATACCATACACCGTAAATCCTCACAAACTGATAGTCGAAAATTAAAAGAGCACACATTAGAATACTGCTTTTGATTTAACAAAATTCCTCTGATTTCACCTTACATAACAGTTTATAAAATTTGGAATTTAACAAGAAAGAGCCTTAATACTTGTACTAATTTACACCGATGAATAAACAAGCATTCTTGTTTTAACCACCATCCATCTTCTGCTATTCAACACAAGAAGATAAATAAGCATTGGTAATCAGTAGAGCTCCTGGACTTTTGGAGTAAGACCAGTTCAGTGTAATGATTGTTAGTCCCCTTCAAACTTAATGTTGATGATCATCCTTAGGTCATCACTTTCTATAGCTCAACTCCGAGGCAAGTGACATTCAACTGGAAAGGAAATGTCAGAATAAGGGTGAATGTACAATAAGGATAGTTCTGTTACTCCTTCAACCACAAAGACACTTCCTGTGGTACTTTAATTAAAAAATGCTTTCTTTCTTGCTCTACAATTCTCTCAGAACTGCCACAGTATCCTTCACAGAAGAATGAATCTCTTGAAAGGTTAAGATGACGACCTTTCAAAGATCCCGCTTCACTTATCCAGAACTGCATTTGACAATGATAGCATCCTTGACAGACAAATGGCATCAATATCTTGAAAGATTACATCAATGATCATGCAGGAAATCTATTTATTTCGAATTTTCTATGATAGTCTTATATCTTTTAAAATTTCCTATCATTCGAGTCAACAGCTCTCTGGTAAAAGCCAGTCTCTTTAACAGACACATGAATCTCCTACATCTCATTCTGAATCAGGTACATCTTACAACTTCATCAGAAGTATCTTTGACAATCACATATCATTAACAGCAACAAATCACTCCTATACTCTTCTTTTCTCTGTGAACACCCAGAGTCCTGTGAACTACCATATATTCCAAAATGTTGTGCAGATTTCTATCCAAAGACACTACAACACTTCTTCAGAAAATACCACAGACAATTAGATATTTTTGGAAAACAACTTCTTCAGAGAAGGACTTGACAATTAGATATCTTTAAAGAATCAATTCTTCTGAAATACCTTTGACAGTTAATAATATCATCTGAGAACAACTTCTTCAGAAAGTACCTTTGAACATTGTCTTGTAAGAGCAACTTCCTATCAATCTATCTCTCATATCATATATGACCATCCGCACTCCTCTTGACAAACATATCTTCCAAAATAGTTTGCAGATTATCGTCTGCAGATACATCACTTCTTCAGAAAATACCTTTGAAAACAAACTCCCTTTGAAGAATAAATTCCCTTCATAGTCTTAGTGACTGACTGATCTTCTAAAAAATCCAGGAACTCCTCTCTCTCTCTCTCTCTCTCTCTCACTTCTTCATCTTCTGTCCTCTTGAGTGGAGCATGGGTTTCTTGGGGGCCTGCCACCGGAGACAGCTGGTGTCCACGGTGAGTCTGGGCCTCTTGTACTGGGCGCTCTTGAGGTGTTCCTCCACCAGCTTGGGGGTGACGCAGATCACGTGCTGCCCCTTCCAGTACTTTATCATATTGAGGGCCTGCAGGGTGCTGATGATGTCGGGTTGCGTGATGCTCGTCATTTGGCTAGAGAGGGAATAAGGGAATGCAGAAAAACAAAATGGTTTAAAGCCCCACTGCACCACTTGTAGCTACTTGCGCCCTCTATAGGGTGCTGATGTCGGGTTGCGTGATGCTCGTCATTTGGCTAGAGAGGGAATAAGGGAATGCAGAAAAACAAAATGGTTTAAAGCCCCACTGCACCACTTGTAGCTACTTGCGCCCTCTATAGGGTGCTGATGATGTCGGGTTGCGTGATGCTCGTCATTTGGCTAGAGAGGGAATAAGGGAATGCAGAAAAACAAAATGGTTTAAAGCCCCACTGCACCACTTGTAGCTACTTGCGCCCTCTATAGGGTGCTGATGATGTCGGGTTGCGTGATGCTCGTCATTTGGCTAGAGAGGGAATAAGGGAATGCAGAAAAACAAAATGGTTTAAAGCCCCACTGCACCACTTGTAGCTACTTGCGCCCTCTACAGGGTGCTGATGATGTCGGGTTGCGTGATGCTCGTCATTTGGCTAGAGAGGGAATAAGGGAATGCAGAAAAACAAAATGGTTTAAAGCCCCACTGCATCACTTGTAGCTACTTGCGCCCTCTATAGGGTGCTGATGATGTCGGGTTGCGTGATGCTCGTCATTTGGCTAGAGAGGGAATAAGGGAATGCAGAAAAACAAAATGGTTTAAAGCCCCACTGCACCACTTGTAGCTACTTGCGCCCTCTATAGGGTGATGATGATGTCGGGTTGCGTGATGCTCGTCATTTGGCTAGAGAGGGAATAAGGGAATACACAAAAACAAAATGGTTTAAAGCCCCACTGCACCACTTGTAGCTACTTGCGCCCTTTATAGGGTGCTGATGATGTCGGGTTGCGTGATGCTCGTCATTTGACTAAAGAGGGAATAAGGGAATGCAGAAAAACAAAATGGTTTAAAGCCCCACTGCACCACTTGTAGCTACTTGCGCCCTTTATAGGGTGCTGATGATGTCGGGTTGCGTGATGCTCGTCATTTGACTAAAGAGGGAATAAGGGAATGCAGAAAAACAAAATGGTTTAAAGCCCCACTGCACCACTTGTAGCTACTTGCGCCCTCTATAGGGTGCTGATGATGTCGGGTTGCGTGATGCTCGTCATTTGGCTAGAGAGGGAATAAGGGAATGCACAAAAACAAAATGGTTTAAAGCCCCACTGCACCACTTGTAGCTACTTGCGCCCTCTATAGGGTGCTGATGATGTCGGGTTGCGTGATGCTCGTCATTTGGCTAGAGAGGGAATAAGGGAATGCAGAAAAACAAAATGGTTTAAAACCCCACTGCACCACTTGTAGCTACTTGCGCCCTCTATAGGGTGCTGATGATGTCGGGTTGCGTGATGCTCGTCATTTGGCTAGAGAGGGAATAAGGGAATGCAGAAAAACAAAATGGTTTAAAGCCCCACTGCACCACTTGTAGCTCCTTGCGCCCTCTATACAACCAACAATGCCTAGGCAGTACCCGTTGATCCCCCATGACGCCCTTTTTCTTACGTTAATTGAGAGCTGATTTGATGAGATAACCACCTGCCAGTGACATTGCAAGGAAGTTTAATCCCTCTATGCCGAACTAGTGCAGAGGGGGCTCAATAAAGCATGTTTATCATTATTATGACAGAAATATATAAGTAGAGGAACAGAGAAGCTGAATAGATGAGAGAAAGAGAGAATAATAAAATACAGAAGACATGTACATGCATGAATATCTTACAGATGCAAGGATGTATTGTCTCGTGTATCATAGTCAACGCTTGCATGTCTAAAGCAAGAATTTTGCTAAAGAAACAATTCATCTTCTGTTGAAAGCCAGAGAGGCATTCACTAATATACTTTCACATAAAGTTAACGCCCTTCTGGCTCCAAATAGACAATATGAGATCTCTCTTGCTCTTGGGTGTGAGTAAGGCATTGATTCTCTAGTCCTTCTGGATGAACTGTTGTTGTTAACCTGCCTGCTTTATTAGCAGTCTCCCCAGAATGACAGACCCAAATGACAAATCAAATCATCTAAGCATATTCCTTGCAAATAAGGTCAACATGTCATTATCTTCAGAATATCAATTTTGTCTATATCACTATTAAATATGATTTTTTTTTTTTTTAATAATTTTTTTTTAACAGAAGTTTTAATACCTCAAGACAAACCTACTATTTCAACATTGCCTCAGTAAAGTACTATCTATCCTCACATCCAAGTATTTCTTGGGTATCAGACAGGGATAACTAAAGCATCATTGGCAAGTATCTTTCTTTAGTGTTGGCTACATTTTTGAGCAGTAGGACCAGCATGACGATTACTGTATACAGTGCAAGTTTTCTATATGTGAAAACTTATAATCTGAGTAGTTATAGTACAAATGATAGTGCGTTCTTGTATAGTGCCCATGCCTGGCACATTTGCCACCTGTGGCGCTCCAGTATTAATGTCCTGGTAATCACTGTAGTTGTTGTCATAGAGGTGTCATAGTCGAGTGGATACGCCGACGGACTGTCGATCTTAAGGTCTGCGGCACTAATGTCCTTTGGCAAGACATTGATCTACATTTGCCACACTCAACCCTGGTGATGTAAATGGGTACCTGGCAGGAATTAAATCCTTGAAATACAAGAGTGCCGCAGTGGCTGCCTTGCAAAAGCCAGGGTAATAATCGGGGCAGCGCCAGGAGGGTCACAACGTGTCGGACGTGTGCTATATAAGAAGCCACTATTATTATTATTATTGTTATAGTCATCATTGTTCACCCTTGGTTATTTCCTTTTGAAAACTGTCATGCTTTGTAGGAGCGCAAAGGGTGTTGTGCACTGGCAAAAAAAAGTACCTGCAGGCTTCATTACTTTACAGACATACTAAAGAAGCCCAACTCTTGCTCTATTACTGATTTCACTTACCTTAGGTCTCTGATGGACAATGTTCCTTTGAAGTCCCTCAGAATCTCCAAGAGAACCCAAGACCAGTAGCTGCGATAGCTCAGCTTCCCAAGATCAGATAGGGGTTTCTCTGGTGACCCAACACAGTTCTCTAACTTCGACAACTCATAACCTAACAATGGAAAGAGAAACGCAATTAAACATTGACTTAAAGATATATTTCCTAATTAATTACTCACGAGCCAACAAATTTCTCTAGCTTGTACAGCTCATAACCTAAGAGAGGAAGAGACAAACTACATTGCCTTTTGCTTAAAATAAAGAAATTCCTTATTATTTCTCAATGCCATTACAAAATTCCTTTAGTCTTAATCTACATATGTATTAATGTAAAGTTTCCCAAAACAAGGAAAATAATTTAACCTTCTTAGTCATCTCTTTGCCTCAGAAAAGTATTATCTCTCCTCAGATCCAAGTGGTACTTGGGTTTCAGACAGGGATAACTAAAGCATCATAGGCAAGAAAGGTCAAGTAGTTAGAAGTAGATAGTTTGATTTATTTTTCACCCAAATACAAATACTGCCCTTTGCTTAAAGAATTCTTTATAACTTTATTAAGCACTGACACACTCCTCTAGCTTTGAAAGACCATCTAATCGGAAGAGAGTGCTTTAGAGACCGAATTCCTTCCGACTTTGTTAGGTTCTATTATGATAACAGTACATTAATTAAATAGATGCAGTTAAAGAACTATCCAGACCTGAGCTCATTACCATATTTTTGAAGCATGGAAATAGGAATCAATAACATGCACCAAAATGAAGATTTTCACTTATGAAGGACTTTAGATTACCAAACATGAAAAGGTTTGACACAGTTCTTGGCATAATAAAGTCCTGTTCCTTTAAGCCTGTCTGCACTAATTTGGCCAGGGCGGATTAGACCTCCTTGCGTGGTCAATGACAAGTGGTTATCTCATCAATTCAGCTCTCAATTAACATAAGAAAAAGGGGATCATGGGGGACAAACAGGTATCGCTAAGGCATTGTTTGCTATATAGAGGGCGCAAGTAGCTATAAATTGTGCAGTCCCGCTAGAATGAATTTTAGCAGATATCAGGGGAAAGTTGGTGATAGAAGGGGAAGGATTTCAAACTTACTGAATGCGATGAGGAATTTGCCATATCCTTTCCTCTGGAATGGAGGTAAGATGAGAATGCAAGCTACGTTGTTACCGTCAGGCGATTCCTTCTCCTGAAAATCATCAGAAAAAAGACAAATTAATCAGTAACAGTCAAACCTGCTGTAGCGACCACCAGTATAAAGACCACATTTTAATTTCCCTTGAGTATCAGTTCTCATTGAAACCTGTACTTAAGGAACCTGTACATAAAGACCACCTGCCTATAAGGAGCATTATTCTGGTCTCCCTCGAGCTATTTTTATATACAAACTTCAGTGTATCAAATGACCATTGAACTACACTTTGTTTACTACAATTGCCTTAGTGGACTTGTGCATGTCCCCTGTGATCTTTCCCATAAAGATCTTCCTTCACAGAAAGGGACCCTTTTCTGCAGGCCTCTCTACATGGAGGCTGCTTCACCATTTCTCAAATGACCACTGAACTACACATAAATATTTACAATGACCATTTTACAACCACCCAACAAAAATACAGCTTTTTAATAACTGGTCGTAATCTACAAAGACACATTGATTTAAAGTACCTAAAAACATGAAGAATGCAGGAACTTTACCATTTAAAAATCATATACATGAATCTACACAAATATAATCATGAAAAATTCCTAAACATGTAAAGAGCGCAATGCCATCAAAATATTTCTTTACTTAGTCTTAATCTAAATAGATATATTGATGTAAATGTAAAGTTCCTAAAAACAAGGAAAATAATTCAACCTTCAAAGGGTTTTAGTCATCTCTTTGCCTCAGAAAAGTACAATATATCCTCAGATCCAAGTAGTACTTGGGGTTTCAGACAGGGATAACTAAAGCATCATTGGCAAGAACGGTCAAGTATTTGAAAGTAAATATTTTGGTGACCTTAATCGACAGGTTTGACCTTACAATGAGACCATTCTATCACTATGAACATGACGGACAAAGAAAGCGGACAAAATATACAGTTCCTCATTCTACCCTCAACAATTGCTATGGTAGACAAAGGAAACATCCCTTCACTGCTGGTATGTAACAATGTGTAGAACAGGTGAATATGCATGTGACACCTGTTCTACAGATTTTTACATAATAGCAGTGAAGGGATGTTCTTTTGTCTACCATGTAGCAATTGTTGAGGGTAGAATGAGGAACTGTATATTTTGTCCGCTTTCTTAGTACGTCATGTTCATAGTGTATGTTACCTTTGAGAAGAATCCAACGAGATGGGCGCCGTGTCTGTCGACCTCTGTCAGGATGTAGAAGAGGAATGGCTCCACATCAAAGTAGAGCGTCTTGTGATCCAGGAAGAGCTTGGCAAGTAGACACATGTTTTGGCAGTACAGCTGTGAGTGAAAAAAGTATCAATAATAATAATATTGAATATTTAGGAGCACTAAAAACAATAAGTACCATAGCGCTTACAAATACAAATATACGAAGAAAAAAATGAACAGTCATACATGAAGTATATCACATAGATCAATGGGGAAAAAGGGAAGTTTTGAGGGATCTTTTGAAGGTGGCAAGACAGGTAGTTATGGGAAGAGGGATGCTGTTCCAAGTCTTCGATGCAGGTACAGCAAAACGTTTTTCAGCTGCTGAGAGTCTAGATTTGGGAGTGATAAGTTTACATGTGTCGGTTGCTGAGCAAAGATTACGAGTTGATGTATATATATTTGGAGGGTGTCATTCAGATATTCAGGTGTCAAATGATTGAGTATTTTGAAATAAACCCTGCAGTTATTGCACTAAACTGCCTTCCCAGGGAATAATTTTCCTGGTATCGCATCGCAATTTGCTATGCATTTTTGCATGACTGCTATACAAAATATCTTTTGTGTAGCAGTTTTCTTCCATAGAAATGTACAGAATTTCATTTGAAATATTTATCCATCGCCTGAAATTGCTAATCAAAAAATTTGAGGAAAATTATTCCCTGCTTCCTCTAAAACACATATCTGCTTGAGAGTCATCAAGCATGTTCTCTTTGCCTCAGAAAAGTATTATCTCTCCTCAGATCCAAGTGGTACTTGGGTTTCAGACAGGGATAACTAAAGCATCATTGGCAAGAAAGGTCAAGTAGTTAGAAGTAGATAGTTTGATTTTATTTTCACCCAAACACTGTTACACTCTTTTCTAATATCATTGTGACCACTCTCGTTAGGAATGTACATGGCTTGAATTCATTCTGGGTTGAATTTTTACAGGGGTGGATTGATCAGCTCACAAATTGGCAACACTAGTATTATTCTTTTATAGCAACACTTTTAATATCAAAATCATAAACACAAAACGTCCGTGCTGCAATGTTTCGTTTTTTAAAATTTTATTGTACATTTTCTAAAGCTCTGAATAAAAAGGTTTTATTAAGTACTTTGCACTCTAAATCAAGTTTAATTTTCAGGTTTAAATGGTTTTTAAAGTATTCGATTTGACTAAGTGGGCAAGAATCCCAAATGTGTATACCTGATAGTGGTTTACACGTTTTAACCCCTGTGAATCACCGTGACCCAGGGTCACTACGATGCACATTATTCGACCCTGAGCGAACACCTTTCTTGCTCAATCACTAGACCACTTATCAGATACTGTGCAAGGAATATTTGTATTTACCTTGTGGTCTTTTCCGTTGACTTCGTACACTGAGATGGAGCCTCTCCTGTAGATCTCTATACCTGAAGGCTGCTTCAATAAGCAATCACCCTGGAACAAATAAAATACAACAGTTAACATTTATCAATAATTTATTTTACCTGCGTTACTGTTGTGTAGCAGGCAAATGCTATTTGATTCCTTAAAGCTGATACTCTAAGACAATCCCAAATACTGAGATAATTACATAAATAGAAAGCTTTTAACCCCCATAATAACACCAAATGGTGTCCACCCGACAAAACAAGTTTAGAATAATGAATTTATTCGAGTAAACTCTACCAAAATATCTAAGTCTGAAACCCGGAAGTGCACGTAGAGTCGGGCCTCTATCCGTGACGTCACGAACGGGAGTCATGGGCTCAGTGAGAGTGAATGGCAGTGATATCCCTACGTAAATGCTATCCTGTCAGAGCTTAGATTTGTTGTTGTTAATGAGTATATTTGATGGATTTTCTGTTTTCATTTGAATGAAGAATAACGAAGCAACATTTTCCAGTCGCTGATTTCTTTTTATATCCTCATATTCACCTATTTGGTAGAGATTTAAGACGAGTTTACTGCTTAGGAATTAAAGTTAAATCGTGCACTTATGAATAGGCGGATGCATTATAAATTATTGTCATCAGATGTACATGAGCAGTTTTGTAAAACGAATAGGTCTAGAACTATGATAGTACTTATCATAGATGTGTGTGACTGCCTCAAAAAAGGATACAGTACCAGTTAAACATTTTATGTTGTAAAATATCAAACTTGAACGAGATCATGCAAGCGCGCTTCCTCTATAATATTTTGGCGAGTGATGCGGCTCTTGCATGAACGTTCGTGGAGCTAGCAGAATCGGGAGGTAAGACCAAGCCGCTGCTCTAGGCGCTGCTTGCTTGTGATGGAACGTACGTGCGCTAGTTATATGTTTATCGGCAATTGCAAGAGAATGAAAGTGACGTTGCCAGCTAAGAAAAACAACTAACAAAGACTTGCTCCTGACTACCGGTGTCAGAATTGATAGATGAAGGATGTTCAGGGCAAAGGAAGGCGAAAGACATGGGAAAAAGGAAGAAGAAACCATCGGGAGATCGCTGCAGTGTATGGTAATGAACTGTGCATGGGTAGACAGCTACTGTTCACTCCGTGCCTGGGCCGATTTCAACCCCAAAACAAAAATTACATGGTGAAAATATCGACTAATAGCACATCGTTGGCATGTATATGTCATAATTTTTAAAAGGGGAATTGATATTAATACTATGAAGTACTAGGGGAAGGTAAAGAATTGTACATAGAATTATGATTTATTAGACTTTTCAGCTAGCTTTGAAACAAAAATATGCAGAAAATCGTATCACTCTGCACATGTTTGCTATGGAACATCCGGGTACGTGAATATACTCTCTCCCGGACGTGAGGTCATAAATAGTAGACCAGCGTCGTGACTGATTTTCTATGCAAAGAGAGGCGGATATTTTAGACATTTCAATTGAGGATTTCGAGTAGACAGAATTTTTTTGTGATATACTAAGTAATTGAAAAACTTAAAAATAACATATACTTGCCGTAGGTAACAAATTAAGGGACATTTATTTGCTTAGAGTATCAACTTTAAATGTATGCATACTTATGTTGTGTAAGGGCTGCTGTCTAAGAGTAAGAAGTAATTATGCATAGAATTAGGAATAATTTGCAGGTGTTGTAGAGTAGGGTGTGGTAGTGGAGGTTTGTGGAGTCATTCCAACTTGGGCCTTCGTCAAGACAAAGTTCCAATTTGTGTGTTATCTGTGTAAATGTTACGTAATGTTCCGTATTTCGTCCTTGGGCTTTCTCTACCCTTGCGCTCTTCCAATTACAAATGGTGTAGGTGCCTCAGAAAAGTACTAGCTGTCCTCACATCCAAGTGTTTCTCAGAATTTCAGACAGGGATAACTAAAGCATCATTGGCAAGTTCCCCTGTGTGATTAAACAAATGTCCTACAGCATTACAATGCATTGACAGATTTTTATTTTTTACAAGCATTCTACTTTCTTTGAAAGAGGGTTGTAGGCTATGATGAGCTATAGGGTGTGGTAGTGGAGGTTTATGGAGTCATTCTAGCTTGCACCTTCATCAAGACAAAGCTCAAATGTGTGTGTAATGTTCATTTTGCAAAGGATGTGAAGGTTTTTCCAGAGTATTTCTAGAGAATCTAGACTCTGCTCACCAGGTGCTTCCTAAAGGTCTTCTCAAATCTCATGTACTTTAGGCAGTATTCACAGATCCAGAGCTTGGCTTGCTTGCCGTAGTCGTCGGGGAAAGGCGAGAAGTACCAAGCATCGATCTCGTACTTGCCTATCTGAACCCTGTTGACGTACTTGACTTTGGTAATCTGGGCATAAGAAAATGACAGAGATTAAAACCTAATCAAGATAAGATTTTATTTTAATGCTGGTAATTTCAACATCAACAATGGTGCAGAGATGCCATCCTCTTGACACAAAAAAATAGACTTGAGTATCCTAAAAATAAAAAAAATATATCAGATTTTGGAGAGGAAAATTAGATTTTCACGAAAACTCGACACTACCATTGGCGCGTTGGCCCTGGGCCAGTAAAATTTCAGGAAAATGTTATACTGGTAAGAACGGTCAAGTAAAATGTTTGCTCTTTCATTAAAATTTAATGAGAAAATTGTAAGGCAAATTTTGTTGAGTTGGGGTTGCGGGTTTACTTGTACATCTTTCTATGCGATTCCACGGTTTTTATGGGGATTTTATCTTTTCTTTTTCTTTTTTTATGAAAAATGAAAAATCGTATTTTAAGAGGTGATATCGTATTATCGTATTTCACTCTAATAATCGTACTGGTTGGCATCTCTGATGGTACTATCATGTACAGTGCTCATGTCTGTCATGCTGTGATGTTTCTGGCACTCCAACATGAATACCTTGGTAATAACCACCTGGACAAAAATGTAGCACTCTGGCATGTCAGGTATTTATCTTGGAAACTGAACAATTTTCACCTATTCTTCACAAAATTTGTTTGTGACTACTTTTTTTAATGGGACCATGCATATATACTGTATATATATATATATATATATATGAACGTCATATTCCTGTACACACAAAGCAAGGAGATGAGAATTTGAGTTAACCTCCCATCTCCTTGCACCAACTTTATAATATATACCATGTGATCATCATAAATCTAAAGTTATAAGATTCTAAATGAATATGAGTTGATGTATATGAGATACACAAACATTAAATTAAATCAAAATAATTGGTTGGCTGCCTCAGAAAAAGTACAATCTGTCCTCACATCCAAGTAGTACTTGGGTTTCAGACAGGGATAACTAAAGCATCATTGGCAAGTGCCACTGGATGATTGCCGAAGACATACTGGAAGCCTTTCAAGTCTGAAGCTAACATCCTGACAATGTTAGTTTTATCAGCAAGGTCTGAGGTTTTCTGTCATTTTACTGTCCCATTGTTACCAAGGATTAAGAAGAATTGGCAGATATTAACACCGCAAGTGTCACTTTCCTTTTTACTTGGTCCGATCCACTAGTAGCACACGTAGAACTAGCAGAATCATTGGGTATAAGAAAACCTTGATGATGCTGGTATCGTAAGGGAGATAATACCTTGGACTTGACCAGAAATAATCATTTAAAATTCATAGCGGTTTGATAAAATAGTGTGCATCATAAAAATATCTCAGATAGAGAGCATTATAGTTATCTGAAAAATCTATTAGGAGCTGATTCTAATAATTTTTCTGAAACACTAAAGTTGTATTATCTGTAATCTTGAGAAGTCGTCAAGATAAACCAGCCATTTTAGATTTGAAATGTATGAATCAAAATTAGGAAATGAAAATAAAGTACAGATTTCCACACTCACAGCTTCATGCTCTCTTTCCAATGCAGCTGTCGTTGGATCCATTTCTGCAAAGCTCTGCGAACACAAAGGGGAAGACAGGAATAATATTTGTTATGATGCAATAACAGACAAAATAAGCTGGAGACACAACCTCACAACATTAAAATTTTGATAATGGTGAATAAAATACATCACATGTGTGTCTATGTAACTTCCACTGAACGTACGTAATTTCTAGTTATACCAATGGCAGAGCTGCCAACCTTGTGCGACCAAAAAAAGGAATCATGATGGCAAAAATAAGAAACTTCCAATGCAGAAATGTTCATTCATCATGCTGTTTTTTCCATACAAGCAGGAATTTTTTTGGTGGTTATTTTGGTATTATCGGCATTTCATTCTTTTTGAGAATATTTTTCTTTTCAAGTATGTTTTAAATTTAGTTTTCTGTTGAATTTGTGATAAAACCACCATGTTAGGGCAATTGTTTGACGTGTGGTATGTAAAAAATTTAAAAAAGAAGAAAAAACGTAATACCGTAATTTGGAGGAAAAACGGAGTAATTCCGGCAAAAACGGAATGGTTGGCAGCTCTGCAATGGTTGAAGAAACAAGTCGCACAGAATTCAAGGAAATTTTTTATCATCAGTCACAAGATGCAACCATAAATTACATTGTCCCACATGTGTATATCCGTGCTGGCACTATTCAGTGCGTTGTAATTCATGAACTGGTTTCACAGGTAAATTTTACGTTATCATACACAAGGACACTTAAGAGCAATCAATACCGGTATCAATAACTTTTGGACAGTTTTTCTTAAAGTACAATTTAATTACCAGAACTCAAGTTTACTTAAAGAAATGCCTCAGTAAAAGTACAAATGTCTACAAATCCAAGCTGTGCTTGGTTTCAGACAGGGATAACTAATCATCACTGGCAAAAATGTCAAGATGCAAGAACCTGGTAATTCTGATACTGTAATACTCACATGCCAAACTGTAACAGCAACATATGACGTTAACATTTTAAAGAAAAGTATACTGCAAGGATCTCAAATATTCATAACATCCCGAGCAAAATATTGCTTTTGTGATCCGTCCCATATAAGGATTCCCTTTCAATTTTCTTGTAGACCACAACCATCAAGTTGAAGTGACTTTCTTGCATCATTTTTTGATCCAGGATGTTATTGCAAATAATACATCAGCAATATGAGGAAAATCAGTACACAGAGAATTTTGAATCCCTTTCTCTTGTGCATTGTCCCGACCGAGAAGAAACAAGGCTTTTATCAAAAATAATCGGTGGCGCACAAAGTGGAATATACAAAATCAGTATTTTCATGAACATAATGGTCTGTTTATTTTTTTGTTCATTTTGTAATTTAATTCACATTTGGGTCCTTTAATATATATTTTGATTAGTTGATTTGTCTTCAACTATGTAAAAATTAAAAAAAAAATAATAATAACAAATGCCAATTTGAGGAGGCAAAGCCAATTCATTTGGACATTTAGAAAACTCTGTACTCTGAGGTGACCTACTCACTGACCTTCTGAACATGGTTGATCTCGTCGTGTTTTCTCTTCTGGTTCCTGGTGATCTTTCTGTCCGAGTCGTCCAGCGAGTCTCCGGTCTCGGACTTCTGCCTCTCCTGGGGGGGCTGTTGGACGTTCACCTTCTCTTTCCCGACCCACTCGTCCATGCGCCGATTGACTGCATAGGGTACAGGCAAATACAACCAACAAGATAAGTTGTGATTGATATGGTGCAAGGAGGCACGCTCTAGCGAAGATTGCTCGGCGGTCACTTCCCCTACAATTGCCAAAGTCCTTAAAGGTAAAGACCAGTTTTGGAAATGCCCCCCTCTCAAAAAATGAAATGGAAGCTTTTATTACCAATCATGTGAAAGAATATGTTTTGACTAATACGTAATGATACAAATTTTGCAGAGAAACCGCCTACTAATTGATACATTTGGTAAAATATTATATATATTTGGACCAGATAGATATAACGCATGTGTCGCGCACGTGTCATGTAGTCCCATATTCATCTTTCTGTGTACAGTGCTTGTAACTTTACCAAGATTGGGTCAAATTTCTTATCATTTTGATGATTCTAGAACCTTGCAGTACACACCAATACTTATATGCTAGATGATCAACCTTTTCTGATCGATTCCATAACGTTTCTTTCACAATGCAATCGCATGGCCATAACTGGTTTTTATCTTTAACTAAACTCAGGACTGAAAGAATACCTTTTAGCCGAATCCTACATGCCTATTTTACATCAAACTTGATACCCGATATGGCATTCAAACATCCAAAGGATAACAATTCCTATTCCCACTAAGGATTAATTTTTATCCCCCAAGCATTTACATCATACATACTGCATGAAGGTTAAAATGGGGCTGTTCTTTTGAAAAAAAGCTGGGCAAAAAGATCAACAATGATTTCCAAAGTCCCTTTTGTCCTGTGCTTTCTCTACTCATGCATTCTTTCAATTACAAATTGTGTGTTTGCCTCAGTCAAGTATTATCTGTCCTCACATCCAAGTATTTCTTGGGTTTCAGACAGGGATAACTAAAGCATCATTGGCAAGTGGTTCCATGTTAAGCAAGTGTCCTTTACCGTTACGATGCATTGACAGTTGACCAAGTTTTTTTTAAATAACAGTCTGCTTTCTTTAATAGAGGATTAAGAGAATTGTTACACAAGGAGGGGGGGGGGGGGGTGTAAGGGATGGTAGTGGAATTTGCCCCAGTTACCCACTGATTTTGTAACAGACTGGAATAGACTAGATCTTCAAACGCACTGAATATACAACTGCATTACTTAAAGGGATTGGGTAACTTTGCCTTAGATTCTAAAATAAATCCTGGATTTAGCTCATGCTGTAATTACAATTATAAACCTATAGGTCATCAATGAATCCCATTACTTTTACAAGCCAATCACCTGTCTGATTATCATGATATCTACGATTGGAATTAGAAATTTCAGAATTCGTTTTCCAACGGTTTTTATAACACTAGTCTATTAGGAAAATGAGTATGGTGAAACCGGTCACTCAAAGATTTTTACTTTGATCCTTTTAAACCGCAACTTGTTTAGGGCTACAATATCACACCATATAACAGACACTGATAACATGTAGGGCCATGCAGCTCAGATTTAACATCGTTAAACGATGCCTTTAATAAAGTACAAAGATAAACCAAAATGGCCTGCACTATACTCCCAAGTTCTACAGAAGAAAAGAAGAAGAATTAAGATAATTCCTCCTTTAAAACTTATCTGCCGTAGTTTAAAGGAGGGATTAGACTGCCCTGCAAGGTTACTGGACAGGTGGTTATCTCATCAACTCAGCTCTCAGTTAACATAAGAAAAAGAGGATCATGGGGACCAATGGTCACCGATTAGGTATTGTTTGTTATACAGAGGGCGCAAGTAGCTACAAGTTGTGCAGTGGGTCTTTAATACTTACGTCCTTTGTAGTGTACATAATACTCCTTCTTGTTGCTATCCTGTTCATTCTTTCTGGTCTGCACAATCTCGGCATTGTCTGAAGAAGAAAAAAAAAAATATTGTTAAAGGTAAAGACCAGTATTGGAAACGCCCCAATTTCAAAAAATGAAATGGAAGCTCTTATTACCAATCATGTGAAAGAATATGTTTAGACTAATACATGATAAAAATTTTGCCAGGAAACCGCCTACTAATCAATATATTTGGTAAATTAGTTTATCTATTGGACTGTGAGATATAAACGCATGTGTCGCTCACGTGTGCGTAGTCCCATATACATCTTTCTGTGTACAGTGCTTGTAACTTTACGAAGACTGGGCCAAATTTCTTATCGTTTTGATGATTCCAGAACCTTGCAGTACACACCAATACTTATATGCTAGATGATCAACCTTTTCTGATCGATTCCACAACGTTTCTTTCACAATGCAATCGCATGACCATAACTGGTCTTTATCTTTTATCCTTTGCAGGCCACTAGTTAATTGTAGTATTGTACAATCCTCTCATACCACATGAGTATGTGTGCACAATGTGAACTAGCTTGCCAAGGAGTCAAAACTGAAATTCTTCTCTTTTTTTTTAACAATGTTACAATCTAAAACAAATATTAGTTGAGTATTCGAAGGTGCACGTGTTGAGGGTCACTTAAGAATTAAACTCCCTGTGCAAGCACCTTTTTACACTAATGAGTAATGACTAAGTATTATTCTTGAGTAAGTATCAAATTAGCAGTTTTATGTGTGTAAACAGCATCTCTTTGCATTTCAGCGACAGCCATACAGACAATAGGCCGGGGTAAAGCTTAGCGACTGTTATCTCAGATCCTCATTAAATTCATGAAAGTACTAAATTCACTTAAATGAATTGATGACAATCATTACGGTCATTAAAATTAAGGTTCACGTCTTCGTTTTTAGGAAAAATAATTAAAATACACCAAAAAAGATAAGAAAATTAATAAAACAGGTAAGAAAGATACCAACTCTTAGATCATGACCTTTATTTGAATAAGATTTTTGATGTGTTATCAACTTATCATGGTAGTGAGCAGTAGGGGCGCTGGTCCAAGAATAAGGATCGTCTTCGTAAATGCTGACCGATGCGTCCTCAAAAATAAGGATCGTTCAGATTTTGATAGAGACGTTTCATATTTTTGATCGACACGTTGTCGTTGAATAAAAACAGATTCCGCGATGATTTTCTTGAAGTATTTTACATCTACTTTGTACAGAGACTTTCACATTATGAGCGATAAATCCTCAGGAGGACGGACAACCCATAAAAGTAGACAGTGAACTAGATCTAGAGTTATTTTCTTATGCGGAATCCATTTTTCACATCGCCGATGCCAGTGGGCGGTTTGGTAACCCGAAGGCCGAAACCTGCAGAGCTCTGATGAAAAAAAATGTCTGTGAAAATGTAGACGATCCCTAATTGTTGAGGACGCATTTTGTCTGCATTTACGAGGATATCCTTGTTTATGAGGACGATCCTCATTCTCAGACCAGCGCCCCTACTGGTTAGGTACGTATCGATCTCCACGCTAGAGTCACGATCCAAATGGTCACACTACACTCACACTTATGAACAGAATAATGAGCCTTAACCATGTTTATTGTTCACTTAAACTTAACTTCTTAACTTTCAGAATAATCCACAAGGCCTACGTAGATCTATCCATAAGTAAGTAATTCTGAACCACGCATCAACTCAAAACACAACACTAGAGTCTACAAGTAGACTTCTACAACGTCAAGAACAATCACTCACACACAGCAGAGCTGCGCCAGACTTCAAGCGCGGCTCATCAGTTCTTTTAAATTTAGATTGACTTTGTACACGATTCGTCATCCATACTTACGCCACGTGTTGTCGTGCCGCTGTATCAAGTAAGTATCACCGATTTTCAACGAGTTTTCATCATTTTCATTGTCTGAATCATTGGTGCTACCATTCTGTGGCGATGTCACTTTGGAATCCGTGTCTTTCAGTGAAGAATTCATGTTGTTTTCTTGTGCTTTTGTGGAGCCCTTCGCCGAGGGTTTGTCCGCATTCTCGGCCATTTTGCATTGAGGACCGGAAGTGATAGGTAAAACGCTCTGTACGTACATGTTACTTCAACACAAAAGTGGATAGACAACAACGAAAACGAAACAAACTTTGGATGACAACGACGACTAAAAGTAAAAGGGTGGGAAATGAAAGAGATGAAATTCCAAAGAGGAGTTGATAGCCCTAGGACTATGGGGAAGGATATTTAGTAAAATTTATTTCGAAATATTTTGCCCTCAATTGTTGGCGGGGACGGGGTCAAAACCCGGGGGGGGGGGGGTATTCAAAATTTAAGACAGTCGGGGGTGTGCATGCCGCTCTATTATGGGCAACTTTTTCACACAAAAACCCTTAAAAAAAGGGTGACGGATCCCATTTTAAACAAAAAATCCCCCTATATATGGGTCTGCCTTTTCAAAATTGTAAGAGTTTTTGCCAGAGGTGGCGTAGCCGGATGAGGGGGCAGTGCCCCCATATTTTGAGGTAACCCTAAAGTGCCCCTTTTACTTAGGAAAAGTGCCCCCTTTTACTTCAGATAAGTGCCCCTTTTTATTTATTACAGTTGTCCATTCCACATTATAATAAGTGCCTCTTATACCACCTTTGATAATTAAGTGCCCCCTTCACCTAGTATAATTGCCCGTATTCACATCTGAGAGATGCTCATTTTACTTTAAAGGTATAATACAAATTTTTGGTATGCATGGGGTCATGAGTTTGGTTCAAATGAACATATTGGAAGCATAATTATGCGATCCTACAATTATATTCAGTGATCGTTGTTGTGGCTGAAATCGAGTCTAAATTGATGAAATTGTAAATAATAAACTATTCGTGTTGTATAGCGCCCTCTCAAGATCAAGATTTAATTTAGCTATAAAACAATGTTATTTGACTAAATCGACCGATTTGCTATTACCGTTTGGAATATATATATCACAACTGCATATTCTGAGATTGTCATGATCGTATAGCTACCATCGTTTGGCCGTAAGCGCTATTTGAAAATGTTATATCCAATTTTTCTCAAAAGCAGAATTGTTTTAGGGGATAAATTTGTTAGTGCTTATAATACATCCATAGGGGCATCCAAATATATAAAAATTGTAAAGAATCACTATCCAGCCAATTTTCAAAATGTACCGGGGGGGGGGGGTTGCTTTCAATAGACTCGAATATGAAAGACCCATGATCACCTCGATCGTGCAAGTTTAGGGCGCCTTTATATGAGAAATATATAAAACCCTTTCCATCATTGTTGTCATGTTGCAAAGTTGTTTACAGACTGGAAAAGGATAAAATGTGACTGATGTAGAGAGTGAATTAATAAACTCAGGAAAGTAAAATTGAAAATGTAAAAAACCTTAAAAAACATGGCAAGAAATAAATCAAATCAAATCAAGTTTTAAATTGGACATGGCTTTGTGGCTAACGCTACCGGTCGCAGGCTACGGCGCAGCCATAGCTGATCGACCTGACGACGGCAGGTTCCCCCCCCCCCAAGGGCCCTTTTGAAGAATGGCCACTCCCTAGGCTCCCCGATAGTTTTTTCTACGCTGCTCCCCCCCCCCCGCAATAGGTCCCTTTTTGTTATTTTTATAGGAATCCATTGACATATAATTGTGCAATGGAACCCTTCTCCTTACACAAACAAAAATTGTTATTATATAACTCCAAAATTTTACAAAATGATTTGTTCTTTATTCGATTTTATCACCATCTTCAACAATTTTTACATATCATATGCAATCACAAAAATATTTGAATTATTTGTAAATATGTGGATTGAGATTCTCAGACTTTATTTGATTATAGGGTGAATTGGATTTCTCTTCACTTGTCTCTTGCTGTCTCTCTTTCTTTCTCTTTCTCTCTCTCTCTCTCTCTCTCTCTCTCTCTCTCTCTCATTCGGACTGAAAAAGTATTGAATGTAATGTTTGATGGATAAAACAGAATACTGTCCTTCGTGTACTTCGTAAAATACTTTACTTTGTTTACAAGTTCATTTTATCGATCACATAAAAGATTGTCCATTAATATGTACTTTGGGTGAGATAAAAATGGGTTAAACTTTGGGTTTTTTTCACTTATGATAATGGAAAAGGGTGCTTAGTTATAAAGGAAAAAGGGCACGTATCAAAATGAAAAGGGCACTCATCAGGGGTGAACAGGAACACTCATCAAGAAATAAAGGAGCAGTTATCAGAAGGGGAAGGGGGCAATTATTACAAAGGAAATGGGGCACTTGTCAAAATAAAACGTGTACCTCTCAGATATGAAAAGGGGCAATTATCAGAGGTGAAGGGGGCACTTCTCAGACTTAGTAATGTGTATTTCTCGTACCTGAAAAAGGGGCCTAATTACCAGTGATGAAAAGGGGCGCTTATCAGTTATGAGAAAGGAAAAGAGGCAGTTGTCGAAGTAAAATGGGGCTCTAATCGGATTTTAATAGGGGCATTAATCAGAGGTGAAAAGGGACAATGATGAGGGAGTGAAGGGGATCTTATGAACAAAATCGGGAGGGGGTGCACTTATCAAAAGGAAAAGGGGCACTGTTTCTATGCAAAGGGACATTTAGGGGGTACCTTAAAAAGTTGGGCATTGAACCCCTGCCGGAGTGCCCCCCCCCCCCCCGAGGGCTGCCTCTGCATATTTCCTTACCCCCTCTTCTGTCAGTCATAGAAACCTGGATCCGTTAACCCCTTCCTCCCTGCTTTCACTCCATCTCTATTTATCTACCGTTTCTCGTGTGTACGAAAGCTTCTTAACATGCTCTTTTCCACGATAACCCTTTATATTTTTGCTCTCCTGGATCCGCTCCCCTGCTTTCCCTCCCTCTCTATTTATCTACCGGTTTCTCTTTATCTATGTAAGCTTCCAACTGTGCTATCTTTTCCTTCACACGTGTATCCTCTTTTCCACTCTCTCCCGGTCCCTCTGTTCTCTCTTTCTCATCTTCTTTCTTGACTTATCTCATCATTTCTTATTCTCTTCATTGTATGTATGTATGTATGTATGTGTGTTTGTATGTACGTACGTGTCTAGTATGTCTGTATTCTTCAGATAATTGATGTGCAAATGTTGTACGTCTTAATATTAGTTTACAGATACAATCTGCGCATGGGCAGATAAAGGTCATTTGTACCAAAATGGTATTACCCACAGAGATGAATAGTGGATATGCGCTCATAAAAGTTATATAACATTATTCATTTATGCACCAACAGTACATTCTATGATACGCAGGTGGAAGTATTCTTTTCAAGAGGTCAAACAAAAGGTATTCATGAAGCACATCTAGGACTTTGGCAGTTATTATTCTAAGGTGTTCAAAGTGGAACTTCTCCATGTGTAAAAGATCTGTGGATATTTGGGGTCATGTGTACCATGTGCTATCTGTAAACTCCCTTTATTCTTATAATTTTGTTAAACACACATGTACCCCGATTCTATGTCATATTGTTAATTATCATTTTGTAAATCTGGGACTCTACCCACAAGCAATTTGCTTCTAAAATCTAGGTGTATCCCACCATTTTCAGAATTTTATTTTATTGCTTTTTTTTGCTTCTGTGTTCACATCGTTTCAAAATGGGAAATAATACGAGTTGAATTTTTTTTAAATTCTTGCTGTCTTGGTATATGTAATCTCCTTCTCATCCCCAAAATAACGTCAGTAAATTTGTCCATGGCTGAACAAGACCCAGAAAATGTAAAGTGCACCTCGCCTTTGTCCCATTTTTTCTGCAACAGATTATTTGAGATGATTTCCAATGTTATCATACCTGCCAACATTTGAAAATAAATATGAATTTCTAGCACTGTATGCCTTCGAAAATAACAAATTTATACCTTTAATAGGCGTTCGCACATGCAGCGGAACTGCATACATGCCAACATTTGAAAATCAGAAATCTGTACAAATTATACTATTTAAAAAAAAAAAAAGGAACAATCCTAACTCTCCTATTCAGTACTACAGACAAATTTGTACAGGAAGAGGAACACCTGCATTAAAATGATAATTATCTTTTCCCAAAAAGAGGAATGTTCCTCTTTAATCTGAACAGTTGGCATGTATGGAACTGGCAATAAAGCGTCAATCTGTACAAAAAAAGGCAATACAAATTTGATGCTCGATCATGCAGCCGTTCAGCACCTGAGTATGTGAACTCTCAAATCGCAGCATATGATAAAAAAAATTAAAAAATTGAAAAATTGAAAAATCGAAATATTACAAGTTTTTAGGTCCTGATAATCCACACCAAAAAAAAATCAGAATATTCCTGATTTTTCTGAAGGGTTGGCAGGTATGTGTTATTTGTGTTTAAAGCTTTATATGGAAACAAAGCCTCACGTCTGAAAGGTAGACAGCGAATAACAGAAAATAAAAACATCGATTTCCAGACCGAATATGATTTTATTGTCTACTACTTGGGAGATACAGAAAAAATATTGATTTTTCACTACGTCAACAAAGACAATCTGCATGCTAATACAAAAAAATACAAAAAAATACAAATACAATTTGTTTAAAACATTTTAAGGGAAAACAGCTTCAGGTATTGTTTTCAAAGATCATGATCGATTTCACAATATTCTGGTTGAACCATATGAATAAAAGGGGCTCACATTCCCACTGACTTGCTATGCTGTCAAAGTGTCAAACCAAATCTTTATCCAAATTATACAAATAAGAATCTCAGAAAATAAACATGAACTGCTTATGAATTATGAGCAGAACTTGCGTTTCACAACTCACATGAATGATTGTCGCTGGGTAAACAGATGCCCCACCACCTCAGCAATTAAAAAACAAAAAATGCTCTGTATTTACACTCACCTTCACAGAAGGCAAATGACCCCCCTCCCCAAAACAGGAAATTCAAGTATTCTCCATTTAATATAATGGAATATATATTCTACACAACATGAAATTCTGCTCCATACTAGGTAACGCACAGATACACGTCTACGCTGCACAAAGATGCTCTATTTCTTATCCGTTATTTGATTTTGGAATTGGTCCAGATCTTGATTTCGAAACATTATCTTTCATTTCACACAACTACAGTACTTCCAGTCAATCAAAGAAAGGTGACAGAATGAACCCATCTCTCTTTGAAGAGCAGAAGGGCCAGGATTTTTGTTGTAATGAGAAGAGTGCAGGACAATGAAAAAGTGGCTTAAGACCAATGTAGAAGTTCTTACCATTATAGATACATGTATTTATAATATGTACGAAGTATAAAAAGCACGTAGTGAAGAATTGCTTGATTGTTTTAATGTGCTGCCTTGAATAGAAATGGGAACTCGGTGACATTAATGTGGCGGTCAAAAAAAGCATATCACTATGCGATCTCAAAAACCATCTGCTTCCTCATCATTTCTTATCAAAATTACATTGGCACCAAGGATTATTTTAAACCATATGAAATAGTACTTCTATATCTATCTGATGTAACCAGTCTATTTTGAAATACAAATTTTCACTCAGTTTAACAAGTTATTCAACACATCTACACAATTAAAAAAAAAAATAAGAAAAGAACTGTCTTGTACAAAACGAGTATATTCAACATCACATGCTGCTACTACATGATGGGATAAAACTTAACAAATAGGTCTGATGATATTAGACAAGACCAATATTTTGAATTTCGTTGATTTACAGCTGGCCACAGTCAGCAATAACTATCTTCTTGGAGGTTTTGCCACTTTCGCTCCCGTAACTCTCAACCTTCTTAATGACGTCGGAACCTTGAGCCACTTTGCCAAAGACTACATGCTTTCCATCGAGCCTGTAAGAGAATTAAGATGGTGATGATGATGAAAATAATAATAAATAGTCCGTTCTTGTATAGTGCATAATACTTGGTCTCTATGCGCTTCCAAAGAGCTTTGGAAATTACCCTAGCCTTAGCTCCGGCTACGGATATCGGCGCACAGTGCATTTCAAGGAATAATCCTACCAGGTACCCAAGTGTAGATCAATGTTTTGCCAAAGGACATTAGTGCCGCGGCGGGACTTGAACCGCGGACCTTGTGATCCACAGTCCGGTGACATATCCACTCGACCACGACACCTCTACAGGGTAATGCTCCCAGAGATTCGACATCATCATGCACACTAACAGCAGAGCAGCCAAATAGGATGTAGTACACAGCTGGATTAAAAAAAAACTATTCCTGTGACTTTTAATCTAAATCTAACCTATATCCCAATTGCATCCTGAACAATGTATCTGTGAATTTGTTATTATCAGGGATACCAGTTAGAATTGAACAGAGGGCCTGAAAATCACCTAGAATGAGCTAGTTTGTACACAAAAAGCCTAAACTATGATATGAAAATAACTTGCCAGGGCCTGAACTCAGGCGACTGCCTGAAAACTGGCATCCCTGTACTAAATAAATGATATCACCGATCAATAGCAAACTACAGAATTATCACTATAATGGGCTTTAATTCATTTTCTGTACCAATTTTGAGATACAGATATACAGCACTACTACATGTGTAGTGTAAAGTCATCTAATGTCTACATTTGTCCATCACCCTCCCAAGTTAATTGCTGAACACAAATTAAAGACTTCCTCAGAATTTTAAAAGTCCCAATTTGGAGGAAATAATCTTATCATCATAGACAGAGTTTATTTGATTTTGACCATTGTTTAACGACTTTTAAAACTATAAGTTACAACTGGATCTAATGATCGAATTGTCGAGTTGGCTCCCAGTATCGGTATTGGATTAGGAATCAGGAGGGATATCTGATGAAAGTCGTTTGAACATGTGCCTCTTGATTCAACGTCCAAACAGTTTACCAAATGGTAGACCCGGGAAAACGTGAACACGCCTTCACGATGCCATGGTTGACAGTGTGAACAGAGAGTAGCAAACAAGTCATAGTTGACTGGTTTAACCTAATCTAGCACGGGCTATTTTGAAACTGCATAGCCCATCCCGGGGGTGGGGGGCTTCTAAGCACCCGACTTGTAGTGCAAAGGTCATGGGTTTGATCCCGACACAGCATCAATTTCCTTTGGCAAGGCATTAATCTACATTTGCCACTCCACCTACCCCTTACCCAGGAGAGAAATGGGGACCTAGAAAGATGACCAAAGCCTTTGTGTTAATAATTTTGATATGCCCTCATGGTGACCATATAAAAGGAACACCCCCTGGGAGTGGAGATGGTGAACGTTGTGCGTGAATGAATCTGATGGCTGAGATGGTGTTACGTATTAACAATAATACAATTTATTGACGGTTCATGCCAAATCTGGTAGTAATCACCCAAGCATGACTTGAGGAAGTACACCCAGTTTTCTCATATCCTTATCTGAGTAATATCTTATACTTACCACGAGGTCACTGCTGTGCAGATGAAAAACTGTGATCCATTGGTGTTGGGTCCAGCATTAGCCATTGACAGGGTTCCTGTAGAATATAAAAACAATCCCCAATAAATGTGATGGATGCGACTGCATTTCTAATGCGACCCTGTCTACGGAACGCAACTGCGTCTCTAATATGCCTCGGCCTGTAATATTGTATGTTCATTGATCAATAACATCTGACCTCATGAACTTAAAGGTAATACAAAGTTTTGGTATGGGGTAATGAATTTGGTTCAAATGAACAAATTGGAAGCATATGCGGTCCTACAATATTCAGTGATCGTTGTCACGGTTGAAATAGAGTCTAAAGTGATGAAATTGTAAATAATAAACTCTTTAAGTTGTATAGCGCCCTCTCAAGGTCAAAATAATAATTTAGCTATCAAACAATACTATTTGACTAAAATCGACCGATTTGCTATTACCGTTTGGAATATATTATATCGGATCTGCATATTCTGAGATTTTTATGGTCGCAGCTACCATCGTCTGGTCGTAGGCGCTATTTCAAATTTATCAAAATTTACAGGGAGCACCGGTAAATTTTTATATTCAATTTTTCTCAAAAGCAGAAGAGTTTTAGGGGCTAATATTTTTAGTGCTTATAATACATCGATAGGGGCATCCAAATATATCAAAATTGTAAAGAATCACTATCCAGCCAATTTTTAAAATTTACCAAAACTTTGTAATACCTTTTAACTACCCCATTTAGTCTTTCCATGTCGTGTATTAAACCTATATACGGTTAATCTTTCAAGTTTGCTACAATATCAAATTATCCTATTTCTATGATGCTAGTCTCTTTCCTTCCTCTCCCTGTCCCCTCTCTTGCTCTGCCTCTCTCTCTCTCTCTTCTTCTTATGCTGTCTCTGCCTCTCCCTAGCATACCACCTCATTAGTCATTCATGTGACAAATTCATCGTTTATAATGAAACCCTCCCCGAGAATCATCAAATCCATGTCAAATATCTTTGTGTAATAGCCATTTCCATGCACCAATGCACAACATGTAAGAAAGTATCATGCGTGCACAGTCATTTGGAATTGTCTGCCAAGCTGACATCTTGCAGTAACAAGTTGGGCTGTGTGTCAGGAATTCGCCCCCCTTGTGCGTTATATGGTGGTTTTTAGCTCTTTACGTTCAAATTCAATCACTGTACAATCACAAGTTCAATCTTGAGCTAACAACCATTCTCACTCCCCCCCCCCCCCCCCCCCCCCCCCTCCACCTCATCCTTTTCCAAGAGTGACAAGATGCAGGGAAAAAATTAATAAAAACATTTCGGGAGCTACTTTTCAAGCTTGCTTGCTTGAATATGAAAATAACACTCTTTAATTTGTTTTGCTTTGAACTTGGGGGCTCTTTTTTTTTTACTTTCGGGGGCTACTTCGCCCCAAGCCCCTGTATATTTTTTCCCTGACAAGATGCACAAACCTGGCTCAGTGTGCTTCAGAGTGAAGTTCTCATCGGCAAACTTCTCTCCGTAGATGCTCTTTCCACCAGTGCCGTTGCCCTTAGTGAAGTCCCCACCTTGGCACATGAACTTTGGGATGACACGATGGAAACTGGATCCCTTGTAGCCGAAGCCCTTCTCCCCAGTGCACAGGACACGGAAGTTCTCTATACAGCAATAAAAAGGTGCAAAGAAATCTTGTAAAGACATGTTAACTTGGGTTGTGATAGCAGGGAAAAAATTAATATTTTTGGGGGCTACTTTTCAACCTTGCCTGCATGAAAATAACATTCTAAAATTTGTTTTGCATTGAATTCTTTTCTGATTTTCGGGGGCTCTTTTTGGGCATTTCAGGGGCTATTTGATTTCGCCCTGAGCCCCGTGCATTTTTTCACTGATTTGTGGACAGACATTACATAATGCACCCACCCACCACTGTGAGAGGAATGGTAAAGGAAGCTTATACATATCCCTTACACGGGACGGACTGATGCATTCCAAGTCCAGAAGGCAAGCTCCGTTAATGTTCTTCGGGTCATCGAATTTCACCATTTGCATTATCAAGATTTGTATACACATCAGCTTCACCAAGTCCCGTATAAGCAAATCATGATGAAATGGCAAGGAAGAATGTACAATGTATGCAAGTGAACAATCATTTCACTGCCCACGTCATCACAAACATTATTTTCCAAGTTATTATCACAGATCATGTCTTTGTTTTCAATGTTAAAACGGGCATAAAATACCTTTCACGTGATTTAACTTCAGAATACATGCATCTGTCTCTATTTCAGAAAAATTACCCTTAGCATTCTTAGTCCGATTGCACTGTACGTACCGGTAAAATGTTACAATATTTTGGTGGGATTCGCAGCACTAAAAAGGGAGGGTGTACTTACACGCAAACAAGATTTAATCAGTTCAAAGAATTAATATACATAAATCAGCATTTCTTCCTCAAATTGGCAACATTAACTTGTATGTACTTGCATTGTACTGAAATAGTCAAAGTAACTTACCAGCTGTCTTGGGAACTACATCGGACCTCAGCTGTAAAAGGTAAAAAATAAAATTAATCAACAGTTGCTCATCAATACTGTCGATTAAATAAAAACAGGCTATTTGTCGTACATTCATATTGCCCTGCAGTTGACTGCAGATAGACTAAACATATATGTGGGCCTTCGGTCACATTATTTTTACCTCTCTGCAAGCCTACATTGTAATCCAAGATGGCGGCCCGCATGTTTTGCCTCTTCTCTAAGACCAATATTATTAATTTCAAAGTCATGAAAAGGCACTAAATATCAACAAACGTGGTCTACAACAACTCCAAATGACAAAATAATCCCAGCCATAATTTTTTTTTGAGCATTTGAAAGCCAAAAACTTGAAAATTTTGGGCATTAAATTTTTTTTTTAATTCTGCTGATTTTTTTTGCCGATACCGATCACAGGTGCGAGAGCGTTGCTCCGATCTTCCGATCCGATCAAAGCCTGAACTTACAGGGTTAGTTCATAGTGCCTAATTTTTTTTCTTCTTCATCATCATAATCTTGGGCAAGTCATTATTTTGTGGATAATGTGACAAGGAGTGCGTACTACCTGTCCATTGTAATATCAATAGACTGGATCAGCATTTTTGTCTTGCCTATCGTAACTTGCTCGGTAGACGGTGAGCCATATTTGACTTCCACTTTTTTTGACACAATCGGAACGGCAATGGTGCAGTGCACAGTTTAGACGACTATTTTACACATCAAATGACAAGAACTAGTACTAGAGTAGATTCACGCATGTAAACCATCCCCGAGTCTTGGATACTTACTTCACATTAACCTTTTCCATGCTGTGGGTAGCAAATTCTGCCTAAATTAATTTTTTAATGACAATTTCTTTAATTTATTTCCCCTTCTATTCTTGTGTTAACCACCTTTGTAAGAATTTCTGTACTGCACTATTTGACTTTGCATGTGTTTTTTTTAATGAAAAGGGTGAATAATTAATTAATTCAATTCAATTCTATTATCCACTATAATCCAAAGAGTCATGAGTTGGACATGACATCCCTTACTAGCTTGCATACTGGAAAATAAGGCCTCCAATATACCAGACTACTTACTACTGTTCATGCATGTACATGTATGTTTATCACACACACTGCAAGCTATTGACAACAGTGTTATTGATCAGGCCCAGTCCCCCGCATTTCATGTATTACTAAGTACATTCCAACCTGCATGTACTCATGAAACTCAATACATTGTCCTTGTCATTAAAAAAAGCCATCGAGAGGCGTTGTAAAGCTCAACAATTACAAGGTCATGAATAGTATTGGTAACAAAACAGACATTTTGAATGACAAAGCACATATTCATTATCAAATAAGAGTCTTCTATTGTTTCCTTGTGTCATAAGTGAGACGTGTGCAAAAGAAATCAAACAAAACCTTTTTTGAGAGCTTACCAAAACTACACAAGACCCGTAAGTGTCTTATTAAAAGCATTATTTTCAATTTAACATTCAAGAAGTCTTGACGCATGTGCATCCCATAGCATCATGCAACAGAAACTAACACTTGACTTAGCTCTGAAATTCGGTATATTTTTCCCAAAAATGTTAACACCACTGAAGATCAGTACTTTTCTGTAGCTCTGCAAGGCAGTGCTAGAAGGCGCTGCTTACTTTTACATGTACTTCATATAAAGAGCCAGTCACATCACATATCACACGTACGATGCGGTTCTTGGTGTAGCCTATGCATAATCATGCCCTATGAAATTATGTGCATTACACAGGGGTGACAGTGAGCACAAAAAAAAAAGGTCCCCCCCCCCCCCTCCAGCCCCTCAACCACGCCCCGCTTAAGTAAAAAAAAAAAAACAAGGATTCGGAGGGGAAAATGGCATCTTAACAACATTCCCCCCTTTTGAGTAAGAAAATTGGGAAAAAAATAGGGAAAATTGAGAAGAATAGAGAAAATAAGGGGAAAATCAGGATAAAATGAGGAAGAAAAAAAAAAAAACATCTGGTAAAAAAAAATATTTATATAAAAAAAAAAATCGGGGAAACCGGTTTAAATCAGGTTTTTATCAGGCCTGATTACATGAACTAAGAATGCATCAAGATGTGACATGCGTGGAAACGTGAATCAAGATGCTGCACACAACTCGCATCACTGCTACACAAAAATTGCCGGGCGAGGTAGAAAAAATTAAAGCATAAACACGTGACTTGAATACGGGCTTGCCATTGGGTAAATTCCTCACCCCGTCTTCGAATAAAAGTATAAGCCAACTATGTCAGCCAATATGTTTGTTTCTATCGCATAAATAGTTTTAACCAGAAATTTTCACCTCTGGCATTTCTGCATCAAACCAATTCCCTTATGGGTGCATCGCTACATTAACTTCCTGAGATGGTTTGGATAGTAGGTCTATAATTAAAGCTAGACTTTGTGTTGGAATCAAATGTACACTTGACACTTGGCAACAGAACAGTATAAAACCCTTTGGAGCAGGTGTTTTATAGTAAGGGAAGGTGTTAAACAGGAATATAAAATCCTTTTTGGATACTCGCTAGAGGCCTAGAGCACCTTTTTTCCATTCGTATCAATACTTGGCTACCTAACAGCTCACTCATGATTGCACTATTACATTGTACTTTGTTTGCAATGCCATGGGTGTAAACCCATCGTTTAGTGATGTAGCCAGCTTAGTTTAAAGAGAAGGTTGAGTTCTGGAAATAGGTGAAAAATAATTTGTGAGCGTTATCATTGTATTATGCAAGTGTGGAAGAAGTTAGAACATCAGATAAAAAATGTTCCCTGAAAAGCATGGCTCTTCAAATGCCTTAATATTCGCAAAATGGCATGTAACTTGTAACATCATAAAAATCGGAACAGGTTATTATGCACATGTAACTTTACCAAGACTCGGCCAAATTTTTGATCACTTTTATGATTCCAGAACCTTGCAGTACACACCAATACTTATATGCTAGATAATCCACCTTTTCTGATCGATTCCACGTTTCTTTCACAATGTAATCGCATGGTCGGTGGACCAGAACTTTTTTCTTCCAGTTGATACGACAGCATACATGAGACAAATTTAGCACTTTGGTCTTAAATCACCAATTTTGGCGCATTTGTGAAGTATAGTATAGAGGTCTAGAGCACTCCAGCAAAGCATAGAGTCAATGCTAATGTGTATTGACCTCTAGCACTGCATGCTTGCTGAGAGAAAGGAAGGTAGTATTATTAGACCTATACACAAATATACACACCACACAATATTGCATAGACTGCACAGTCATGTCGATGCAGCTGTAAGCAAAGTTTGACACTAGACTTACAATTTGAATTTTTAAATTATTCTTTTTAACATCAGCAAGTTAAAACTAGAAATGCAATCGTCTCAGAACGATGTGCGTGCAATGACGCCATGTTTCTACGTATCAAACAAAAGAGCGTCTCTCTGACTATCAAGAGCAATTTGTACGAAGTCTGTAGCTTCTGTGATATTGGAGATAGGTAGGGCGAAAGAAAGGCCTCGACAGTGACCTTGATGGGATGGTAGTGACTATGTCTACGCAGTTTGAAAGAAATTGGGATAGGGGAAAGAACCTAGAAAGGACTCGCAAGCACTGCGTGCAAAAGCCAAACGGATTTGGTGCATGTTCGTCATTGCAATAAAGATCGTTCTGGGGGTCAAAAGCGTGAACCCGATATGCCCCATAGACAATGCGTGTAATGCATGGGCGAAAAACGTACAGGATCTGTATTGTGACCGAAGTTAATTTTTTTTTCTTCTCTCTCTTTATGTCTCTTTATTGGCCGTATTTGGTATCATTAGAGAGAGAATTCCATGGTTGTTATTGTAAACCACTCCTTTTTTTTTCCTATGATAATTCCATCCAAACACGTGATGCAAAAAAGATTTATAGGACAAAATGGCGTCTTAAATGACCCCATTGACCAATTTTAAAAATCCGGCTTTGAGGTGCCCTGCGTATAGCAACTCGGAATGTCACTGCAAAATTTCAAGGAAAAAAAGGGACGTTTAGGGGGCGAAAAGCAGTCTGAAAAAATGACGCCATAGCCGATACGTGTTATAATATTGGGCGGAAACTCGGCGGAATTTGTATAATGACCCTTGTTCAAATGTGATTTACTCAAAAATTTTCTGTGTGAACATATACCATACTTGGTATCATTCCAAAGGGCACTTCATTGCGGTCAGTTTGACACCACTGTCATCTGCGCGCAAAGTACTGCACGCATTAAAGGCGCTATTACGTAATGCATAGCACATTCATCATTTTTGGTGATAACTTTGCGCTGACGTTATAAAAATTTACCAAACTTGGCAGACAGTTGTCACGTATATTGATATATGTGTCTGCTAAGTTTCATTGTTGTAGGTATAATGATCGCAATTTAAGAGCAAGTTGAAGTTATTTTGCAATTTTCTTGAAAATGGCGAATTTGGAGGGCAATTTTCTCAAATTTGGTCAGTGTTAGGGTATTTAATTTTGTATATGGCTGGAAAGGGCATATCTTCAAGTATCTAAATCCAAAAAAGGGTACGGGTCTGCCAAGCCATAATGGAGATACAGCCACAGAAAGAAAGCCAATTCCCAGAATTTTAGAGGGCGCTATTTATGTTTTGCAAAGCCATTGGAGCGTAAAATTTGGCATGGCTATGCGCAATTATAAAATAAAGATACTGCGAGAAGATGAGACGAAAAGGAATTGGTTAAAGAAAGTTATAGCAATTTTTAGATTTGTAGGGGTCCATTTTTCAAGAATTTGAGAGATTGCTGACGGAGTCGGTTTCAGATTTGAATTTTGAGTATGAAGATGGCATTTTGAAGGGCAGGTTATACGTCGCAGATTAAAGACCATCTCTTAGACTATCTAGAGAAATTTGTTAGAAGTTTGTAGGATTTAGCAGAGTGGAGATAGGAAGGAAGATAGAAAGGCCTTAAAATGGACCAGAAACGGACAAAATGGCGCCTGGACGTTTACGCATGAGTGATTTCAGAAA